ACCAAACCTTGTATGCACATATGAATAATAAAAGAAAAAGGAAAAAAAAAAAGAGGTTGGGGCAGGAGAGGCATCCAGAGTAGGGGGAGGGGCAGTAGGAGGACAGTAAGGGGCCTCTTAAGCTCCTAAGGTTACTTCTGCTCTCCCCAGCAACAGGTCAAAGGCATCTGTGCAAACTCAGTGTCCAGGCAGAATCAGAGGGTGGGGCCTGGCTCTGCTAGGGCTTTAAAGTCTTCTAGGAGGTTCTAACATGCAGATGGGTTGAAAACCACCGGAGTGGCTCATTCAGAAACCAGGGTTTAGTGGTCACCTAGCTCTGTGACCCAGGAAAAGTCCTTTCATTTCCCCGTGCCTCATTTTTCTGTCTTCAAAGCAAGGGTCTTGACAGTGACTGGTTGCCTATGGCCGTGTTGTGAGGGGGAAAGGAGATGATGGCTGTAAAGTGTCTGGCACACACCTGGCACCTGGCACCCACCACCCTGACACTGCGGGACCTTGGGTTGACACTGACTTCGTAGGAAATGATGGTTTCCGTACTGTGCCACCATTCAAGCTTCCTTCCTATGTCCTCACCCAGAGCCCCGGCTCCCCACCCCACCATGCCCTCCCTCCAGGGCCACACAGGCTCAGGAGGCCACAGGTTGGGCAACTCCCACCAAGGCCCTGCTGAAGAACACAAGCCTGAGTCAGGGTCGCACGGAGTGGGGTCCCCATTAGAAGGATAGGTCTTGTCTGGGCTGGAGCCTGGACAGGACAGTCCCTTTGTCCTTTGCCCTAGCCTAGTCTGACTCTTTGCTTGCAAAGGATCTTTGTCCTGTTTTATTTTGTTTTTCTTGGAAGGGGTGACACTGGGGTTTGAACTCAAGACATCACACTTGCTAGGCAGCTGCTCTTACTGCTTGAGCCACTCCTCCAGGTTGAACTTCATCCTTAATAGAATGCAGGACCCGGAACTGGGCATGGTCTACACAGCAGGCCTAAAGGAGCCTTGGGAGTGTCACACGACTGTTATCATTTGTTCTTCACAGTGCCACCAAGCACTACTCAGAGTCACCTCCCTTAATCTCCAGGAAGAAGGTGTTTATTGTGCCAGTTCACAGAAGAGGAAACTGAGGCCCAAGGGGTTGAAGGTCTAACTAGGAAGTGTGTGTTCAGCGTCCTATGTCAAACTCCAAGAGGGTCCAGGCCACTCCTGGCTGGGAGGAGGAGGAGAGGTCAGGTAGCCCCCCTTTTCCTCAGGGTGGGTGCAGGCTACCTCAATGTTGGAGGAGCCATAGTGGAACAGAGTGGGGAGGAAGTTCCCTGGAGACCCCAGGCCTCAGCCTAGTCTCCCCAGGGCTTCCTGGCTGAGCACCAGGCCTGGAAGGGACAGGGTGGTGTGGTTCAGGCAGCTGCCTAGGAAGAAAATGGCTGGTAGGAGGTAGCCTTTGTCCCCATGCTGCCTCCAGGAGACCCAGGTGCCATCCCAGCAGTAAGGGAGCTGGGACTGAGCAGCAGCCCTGACAGGATGGCCTGTTGACTGCATCTTTCTCTTCTGAGTCTGTGAAATTCATCAGGAGTTTCATCGGTTGAACTTATGGTCCAACTCATGGAGGCTGCAGAGCCAGAGGTTCGCTGGACCAGGCAGAGCAAGATGTCCCAAAGATGTCCACATCCTAATCCCAAGAACCTTCATGATAAAGGGGACTTCAGGCTGCAGGTGGAATGAAAGTTGCTCATCAGTGGAACTAGCAATGGTAGGGCAGCCTGGCTTATCCAGGAGGGCCACTTGTCACCTTGAAGGTCCCTATGCACAGGGAGGGAGGCAGGAGAACTGACGGATGCCGGCTTTGCTGATGAAGGAGAGGCCACCAAGGGATGCAGGTGGCCTCTAGAAATTGGAGTCAGAGTCTCCCTTACAGCCTCCAGAAGGAGCCAGCCCTGTGGGCACTTTGACTTTGGCCCAGGGGGAACCAGGTCCGACTTCAGCCTCTAGATCTGTGAGATAATAACTATGTGTGATTTTACGCCACTAGGCTGGTAGAAATTTGTCTCAGCAGCCACAGGAAAGGAACTGCTGTGTTCTTTGCTGTGTGAACAGGTGGACTCCCTTGGCATTGGGGTTAGGCTTCTCACTGCTCATTTGTCCCACTCTCACCAGCCTGGAGCACAGGAGGAAAACTTGACAGGTGAGAAGTTTCCGGACTTCATGCTGGAAAACCCAAGCCCTGTGGCCAGGGTAAGAGCATCAAAGTGATACCCAAGTCTCATCCCCATCCTCCCAATTTTAGGCACTTACTTCTAGAGGGTCACACTATCACCCTGAGCCCTTTCTAAGACTTATTTTCTCAGTATCCCCATTAGTGAGGATTAAGGAGCTCATTTTGTCACACTCTGGGCCCATGAGGAAGCATGAGGACATCCTAAGTATACCATGGCACAGAGGAGGCTCCAAGGAAGCCGGTATTTCTCCAGCGACTTGGAGACAGCCCAGCCCAGGACTAGTTAAAGCGTTGTTAGGACTTGGATTGGAGGTTTGGTCCTCAATGCAGCAGTGTTTAGCGGTGACTGAATTATGTGGGCTCTAACCTCATGAATGGATTAATCCATTTATGAATTCATTTAATGGGATATTTTAGTAGGTGGTGGAAACTTTAGAAGGTGGGGCCTAGTTGTAGGAAATAAGTCATTGGGGGTGTGCCCTTCAAGAGTGTATTTTGTCCCCAGCCCCACCTCCTTTCCTGGCCACCATGAGGTGAGCAGTTTTGCTCTGCCCACCATGGGATTCTGTTTCACCTGGGCACAGAAATGATGGACGGCCTCTGAAACCATGAGCCAAAATCCACCTCTCCTTTGGAGATGATTTCCTCAGGCATTTTGTCATGGTGGCAGAAATCTAAACTGCACAAGTGTTTCTGTGTTTTACCCTCAGCAGAGAATGGTGGGGGGGCGGGGAAGGGTCACGGGTGGAGAGGTGGCTCCCTGGTGCTCTGCAATAGGCGTATACTGCTGGACAGGAACACACCTGTGCTTTCAGGAGAAGAGGCTGCTGTCCCCGGGATAACTGTTAACGTCCCTTCTAGTTCCTTCTTTGTGTCAGATAAGGCCCTCCAGAGGACACTACCAGGAAGCCAGTTAAATGGGCCCAAGTCCTTCAGCCACTCTTCTGGGTGACCTAGAGGAAACTTTGCTCACTACAATCACAGTACAACACTAGATTCTCCACCCCAGAGCCAAAGGCATTCCTGTCTGCATTTTTTTTTCTCAGTACTGAGGTTTGAACTCAGGGCCTCACACTTACCATGCAAGTGCTCTATGGCTTGAGACACTGACAGCCCCTGTCTGCCATTTTTAAACGTTTGATGTATAAATAAGCATGGTTTTGAGTTGGACAGAATTCTCCTGCCTCTGGAAGCAATCACAGGTCACTCAGTAGGAATGTACATGAGTGTCCTTGCTTCCTTTGTTTGGAAAGACACTGCTTTGGGGGTCCTTCCCAGGGCTCTCCTTGCATAAAAACAGTCAATACCCTTTCTTCATTCTTTCATCAAGTTGTAGCTTTTGGCTTTGCCCTCACTGAGGGGTAAACCCACAGTGTTCGGTCACAGGGCACCCTAGAGCAGGCTTCCATGAGCTCTGACACTCAGCTGCCCCCTGCTCCACCTCAGCCCCTGGCCCTGGTCCCCCACTCCCCGTGCTCACTTGGTCCTGGGAGCCCAGCCTGCCACCTCCAAGTTGGCTTTTATGACAAGGTCCATATTCACCACAGCTGTCCATGATAGCCCTAACATGTCCTGTGACCAAGATAAAACAATTTCATGATCTTACCCAAATTTGGGGTTATCAGCCCCAAATTCTTGGGGGAGCCAGGCAAGCAAATGCTTTAGCTGTAAGAAACATCCCAATCCTTGCTGTCTGGTTCTAAGCTCAAAGAAGGGCCAAAATTAGAACCACACCATGCATTTGTGCTTCTGTTGATACATTCATCCGTGAAGGAAACCCAGCTGGAAGGAAACCCTTCCAGAACATACATGAAGCCAACACAGTCTGGAAAAAGCCAAGGCCCTCATGGCTCCCACACTCAGAGCAGTTCATTCTGAGTCGTCCCACTGGGAGCCACCTCTGTGAGCCTCAGGAGGTACCACTCTGGGCTGCCTCTTCTGCTGCATGCCAAAGTGTGGAAACTGACCAGAGGTCAGCAGAAGGCTGAGGGCCAAGTCAGCCAGGAGTCCCCACCCTGCAGAGAGAGTCCTGGGACCAAGGAAGCATCCTCTTCCTGTCTGTGGGATCGCCAGGGTCAACCCTGTGCACCAGGAAAGGAACTTCCACCCTCATGCCATCGTCCCAATTTCCATCATCTCCCGAGACATTAGTGCCTCCAAGAAATTCCAGGAGGATTTTGGACAAAGCTGGATTTCTGAATGTCAGATAATGGGGAGTGCATAAGACCAAGGGACAACTGTCATTCCTTCCACAAACATGTAGGGAAAACTGGTGGAGCAACTTGGGTTAGGGGAGACACAGACTTCAATACCTGGCCAGGAACTTGGAGTGAGAACGAATGGTCCCACTGTGACCTAAATTTTCCCCAACCCCTCTTCCTACGGGGAAGGCTTTGAGTGGAGTCTGTTTTGACCCATGTGACATTAGGTGGTTCCCCTGCAGGGCAGGGCAGGCAGGGCAGGTCCAAACAGAATTTGGGGCCTCACAGGCTAATGAGATGTGGGGCTGCTTCTAACTCTCCATTGCCCCAGCCAGAGGATTTTGTGATGAGGGGGAATCCCTTTATGTCATGATGATCCACGGGACAGCCCACGAGAAATGAGGTCTCTTTTTGGAAGACCAAGAGGATTCGTGTCGTTGAAGCGGATGGGTTGCAGTGAGGTGTGAACACGTTCAGGGAAGAGGCTTCTAAGGGAGTTGGGGGTCTCTTGATGCTTGTTGTTCAGGGGCCTGTCTCAGTCTCCATCACCCAGGGCTGACGTCCCACCCCTGGGGGGAGGATGACAGGTGGCAGCGGCTCAGGGCACCATGTGCCACCACTTGAAGGTGAAGGGCTGCCGGCGCACGTTGGTGCCACAGTGGACCTCCCCGTGTAGCATGTGGTATGGGGTGAAGTCATCAATGAAGGTGCAGTGCAGGCCGAAGCGGCTCCAGCAGGGAACGCACCTTCTCTTCCAGGCAACAGCGGCCATTGATGAGGGGCCCAAAGGGCTTGGGGATGCCCAGGTGCTTCCCCAGCACCAGCATGTTCACCTGCAGAGAAGGGGGGCCTGGGTCAGAGGCTACACCTCACCATCAGCCTACCTCCCTGACACCTCCACCCACCAGCAGGAGCTGGGCTTGTCTTTTTTAGGCAGCCTTGAAAATAGCTACTCGCCCGTTCCTGTGCAGTGGGAGGAGCTCGGCTGGAAAAGCACCTTAGCCTGATGCTTTTGGGCGCATCTGCCAAGCTCACCATGGCGATTTTTTGGTAACTGTCCTCCTACTGGTGGACTGCGTAGCTGCCATGTTTATGCTACTGAATCCCAACCTCCTAAGCCATCACTGATTAGATCAGAGTGGACAGCTGACTTGAGATAGACCAATCAGATTCTCTCTCCCAGGAATTTAGAGTTGACACTGGAAGAGCCTCAGTCTTTGTCCTCATGTTCATATCCGTTCCCAGGGGCAGAATGGCAAAGACAGTCAAACTAGAGGGAGAAGAGAACGAGAGAGAGAGAGAGAGAGAGAGAAGAACACAGTCCCTCTGGCTGAGCCAGTTTGGGTGATTCTCTATTTCCTGCCAACACAAGAACCCAAATCATTGCCCAAGCTTCCGGGAGCACATATATAATTACAAAGCGTCCTCAAGTGTGCAGGAAGGAAGGGGGGTAACAAGAGGCTTTGCAAGGGAGGGCAAAAAAAAAAAAGAGGGAAGGAAAAAAAAGGGGATGAAGCAATGGTGCTGTGGACCTGTTAAAAACAGGCTTTGATGATGGTGAGTTAACTTCCTCTAGGGGATGGAGGCAGGGGAAAGAAGAGCAGGTGACCTGAGGGCAGCACCAGCACCCCCTTGTGGGCTCCTCAGAAGGCAGCAGCATCCCTGGCTCGCCCTCAGACCTGCTCAATGAGGACATTTGTGTGGGGCCCTTGCTATCAGGTGTTTCTGAAGCAAGCTCAAGATTTAGAGACACCAAGGCTAAGCCCTAAGGCTCCATCAAAGGCCTCTTCTTCTGTGAAGTCTTCTCAATCTCCCCTCCTACCTCTTGTCTGGCAGTGCCACCCCCAAACTGCTCTTTATCACTAGGACATGACCTTAGGTGATGAGAGTGTCCCCTCAACAGACAGAGTGAGCTCCTGGAGAGCAGGGATCATCCTTAGTCATCTGTGTCTCCCACAGGACGTGTAAACGCGTGCGGGATGCACAGCTCTGAGCTGGGAGGGCAGGAACAGAACGGCCCCCAGCTGCCAGTGAGACCACGGGCTTTGCACATGTGACCTCGTGCAATCATTTCTCCACTCCATGAATGTCAGTGGGTCCCTTCCTTTCCTGGTGGCCCTTGAGCCAGGGTTTGGCCAGTTACAGGGACCAAGATGGACACCTAGTGGAGGCCACAGGGTCAGGTGGGACCCCTGATTCTCCTCACTACTGCCTCAGGACCCTAGAATCTCAACAGAACTGTGACAAATGTCTCCCCGCTCTGGGGACGGGAGGAAACCCTAAGTCACAGGTAGTGGACTCACCAAGTCAGGGAAGAAGGCCACTGCCTTTTTCCTCTCGGTCTTGAAGAGCTGCGGGATGTCGATGATGTCGCGGTCAGCCAGGCCCAGCTCCCGCTTCAGCACCTCACGGTTCCAGTCGATGCAGCTCTGGAGACGGGTGAGGGGCCGAGATGGGAGACACGCCATTGTGGGGGGGGGACCTCGAGGATCCATGTGTGGGGCCGAGTGCCCACGGGTCCACTACTTACACAGCCTTACATTTGGTCAAGATACACCTGCTCTGTATCCCACACATGCCGTCCCACTAGTGGGGCTAACAGTGGGAATGTTCCAGAATATTCCAGAGTGTCCCATCTGTGACCTCTTCTCTAGATCCCTCATTTGAAGGGGATCCCCTTCAGTCTCATGGTTTAAAACACTGCCTGTATGCTGATGAGCTCCAAATTTCTGTCTCCCCCTCTCTTTGCTGAGCTTAGACTTGTAAGTCTAACCAGCTACTTTGCATCTCTGCTTAGAAGTCTAACGAGCACAACCTTATGGCTGGGCCGAAGATAAATTCTTTAAGTTCTATCCCTCCCCACACCTGGTCCTCCTCCAGACTACTCCAGCTCCATAAATGTTACTGCCCCCTCCCAGCTGTCAGGGCCACAGTCCTGCCGTCATTCTTGACTTTTCCTTTCATGTATCCAAAAGCAAGTGCAGTGGGTGCCACCTTTGTTATCTACACCCACTCTGCCATCTTCCTGCTACTTCCCCTGCCTCCCCCTGCTCTGACGCCTGCCTCTCTGGACAAGCTAATGGCAGTGGCTTGCTAACTGTCTTCTTGATTCTTCTCTTGCCCAAAGTGATGGCCTGATAATGTCCCTGCAGACTGGCACTTACTGCCAGGCTCTGTGTTTGAGGTCACACTTCCCTCTGTCCTCCTCAAATGCACAGTGCAAACACCCCACTTCTCCCAGGTCAAAGAAGGGCATTGGAGCCATTCAGATTTTGTGAACCGTGAGCCTCAGGCATCCGCCCCCATTGCTGCCCCCAGGCCTGCCCACCTTCCTCTCACAGCCACAGCCTTTGTACCTGCACGAACTTGTTAAAGCTGATGAGGCTGTCATTGGAAAGAACCTGATTGATGGAGATGGTCTTGACCTGCCTTTCGCCTATGAAAGAGAGAGACATAGAGGGGTGAGGACAAGGACCATACTGTTCTGGAAAGCAGCCAGAAAGAGGCCAGGTTCACAGCTGCTGGTCTGGCCAAGTCAGCTGCTCTCTGACTCTGCTGGACAGGGGTTGGGCAGCACCGGTTAGAGCTTGGCCCAGTCACTGCACATCTGGGGTGGGAGAGAAGGGAGGCACTGATTGCTGTGCGCAATGAACTTGAGACTTCTTTGAGTTCACTGGAAGTGGTAGTTTACAATCACCTGGAGACACTGAGTGATGATTCCTCTTCCTCCGGCTAATGAGGGAGCTGGGGAAGTTGCTGTCTGCCCCTTACCCACCAGAGCCAACTTTATAGGTTCTCTGAGCAGTGAATCAACTGGTCCTGAGAGTCTGACACCATCAGGCTCTCGCCTGCCCTTCAGGAGGTGACTGCATGGCAAAGGGTCTCTGCAGAGGCCTGGCTTTCCTGCCTGTGGTGCTTGTGCAGACAGGCTGGCTAGAGAAGGGGAGACTGGAGTCATGGCTCCCAACCCAACAGCTGCCAGTAACTGAGCGCCTGCCATGAACAGAGCAGGAGCCAAAAGTGCCACGTTCAGAAGCTCACTCAAGCCTCCCCCTTCAAGGTATGCATTGCTACCTCGCTTCACAGGTAAGGAAAAGAGACTCGGAGAGGTCAGATGACTTGCCCAAGGTCACAGAGTTGGGGGGAAGAGAGAGGGCTGTATAAACCCAGCGCTCACAAGGTCTCAAGCCACCATCACAGGGAAGGAGGGCTTTGTAGCTGTGCGTGTGGGCCCCACATCTAAACTTTTCTCTCCGAAGTAAGTTGGTCCAGGACCAACTGCCTCCCACATGAACCCCCTAGAGAAGCTTTCTGTGTGGAAACCCCTGGCATCCAAGTCAGAAGTCAAAGGGAGGAGCTAGTGGGACCTCACAGTCTCAATGAGGCCCCTCCTTGCCAAGGCTATGGTGACCAGGGGCTCACCCAGACCAGATCAGTGTGGGGACAGCTGATGCCAGGCCTCCTGGTGCCTGGTTCCCTCCCACTGGGGTGAGGACCGCACCATCACTGGGCTGCCAGGGAGGGGGAGGCCTGGCAGCTGGGGCTCCAGAGGACAAGGTAAGCCTGCAGGGACCCATCCCTGGAGGGTGGGAGGCAGAGGCTCCGTGCCTCAGTAGACACCCAGTGGATCAGACCTCACTTAGAAAACACAAACACTAAGATTTTGAGCCAGGACATTCACCCCTAAGCTCTGAGCCCCTCTGAACAGAGGCCTGGTGCAACGGCACCTGTCAAAGGCTGACCTTGGCCCCACCTTCCCCACACCTCCCTGCTCCTCCTCAGGTTCCGCCCCCACCCAGCAGTGGTTGGAGGAGGGAGGACATCAGGAATCAGGGGACACAGCCTTGCTTTAAAATCTGCTGCCCCACTCTGAGACCATGGTATGCCTTGACTCAGGAGGGATGGGAAGTTGTGCTGAGGGTCTTGGTGCTGTTACCCACCGACGACCCCCTGGAACAGGAGGGCCCTGCCATGGCCCCACTTCTGCTTTTCCTGGAAGAGCCGGAAGCAGGCGCCTGGGCTGGCCAGAAGCAACCGGAAGCCCTGTGTGCAAAGAACAGACCCAGCTGAGTCCTTGGCCCCAAAGTGTCCCCTGAGTTCAGCCCCTGGCCCAGAGACTGAGAAAGATATACCACCAAGTCCTTACCTTCCCATCTGGGGCAGGGACAAAGCTCAGAAACTCATCAACATGTCCCACTGCCAGCCAGTCCACAAAGAGCTCCACCAGTGGCTGCACCTTCTGGGCATGGAGGAAGTCCCGTACAACCTGGGTGACCCTGCGACCTCTCGACCTGGGGTCCGTGGGGTTAGGAAAAGTCACTTAACTAAAAAAAAAACCTCCATGCTGAAATGGAATCACAAGTATTCAAGATTTCTGTGGTGTCCAACTTTACTTTAAAAATCGTTGCTGCCAGGCATAGTGGTTCACTTCTGTAATCCCAGCTACTCAGGAGGCAGAGATAGGAGGATCACAGTTTGAGGCCAGATCAGGCCTCAAAAAAAAAAAGTTAGTGAGACCCTATTTCAAAGAAAAAGGTGAGTGTAGTGTCATACCTGTAATCTCAACTACACAGTAGGCGGAGGTAAGGGATCACAATATGAGACTGGCGAGGGAGAGAGAGAGGGATGTAAGCCCCTCTCTAAAAAATAGCTAAAGGAAAAAGGGCTGGGGGCACGGCCCAGGCGGTAGAGCACCTGCCTAGCAAGGGCCAGGTCCTGAGTTCAAATCCCAGCATTGCTTTTGTAAGCAAGAAAGACTATAACTGCATACATTTTAAAAATTCCACTGAGAGTAAGTTCTGCTGAAGCCTCACCACCGTGGATGTCTTAAGGACAGGTGCACGAGACCATCCGGGGCTCGTGATCCATCCTTTGGCATGAAAAAGCACCTAAGACCCACAGTCCTCTTTGGGGCCTTCAGGTATTTGAGGGCTGTTACTCCCCTCTGAAGCCCGACCCTGAATTCGTCTATTACTTGATGTCAAGTCTGTCCTAACGGCTCTGTCTTGGTCTACTGCACAGTAAATAACCATTGCTCCTTTTCTTTTCCACAGCGCCCCTGTGTAATACAGACACAACATTCAATCTCTCTCTCTCTCTCTCTCACTACCATCTCACTTTTTTTGTGGTACTGGGGCTTGAACTCAGGGCCTCACACTTGCTAGGCAGGCACTCTACCACTCGAGCCACTCTGCCAGCCCTGTTTCTGTGTTGGTTATTTTTGAGATGGGGTCTTGCGCACTATTTGCCCAGGGCTGGCTTTGAACAGTGATCCTCCTGATCTCTGCCTCCTGAGTAGCTAGGATTACAGGTGTGCACCACCAGCACCGGGCTGCTATCTCACTTTTCATCTTATACCTCCCTTGTCCTGCTCTGAGGAAACAATCTGGCATCAGTCATTTATATCACAGTATAAACGAGGCTTGACTTAAATGAATTTTGTCCCAGGACTGTTTGCTGTCAGCTGATAGACTCTGGGATCAGCAGTGTCTGTTTATTGCAGAATCAGAAGACCCGAGTCTAGCCATACTTTGCCTTCTGTGTGACTCACTCACCCTCTCTGGGCTACTTGTACAATGAAAAGGCTGGACGGAATAACCTTTTAGGTCCTGGCTTGCTCTGGCCTTCGCAGACTTCCAGAGGAAGTCTCCGCATCCAGAACCACATATGAAGTCTGCAGTGGTCCCTCGCCCCCATCATCAGGGCCTCCTGCCTCCCACCGAGCTCCTCTCCCTGCCTTCTCACCCAGGCAGGTTGCCCCCGATGAGGATCCTCCCCAGGGGGTACTCCTTTCCATTGGCCACCACTGGGGGGCTGACCTCCAGGTTCCCAAAGGAGTCCAGACCGCTCACAGACTTGTCTCGTGGCTCCCGAGTCACGTAGCCAAAATCTAAGCCCTGGTGAGGGAAACTGAGTCAGGTGGGGATGGGGAACCTGAAAGGGTTTGAAATAACTTGCTGGGCTCTGAGCTCCTAAAAGACAAGCAGGAGTAGTCTCCCATTCTTCAGATGGAAACACTGAGTAAAAGATAGGCTTTGGTCCAGTCAGTATTTCATGCATGCTTCAGGGACCAAGTCAGGAAAGATTTGGCCCTTTAAGTGCTGGCCTATCAGGCCAGTGTCATCCCCATCCCCTGGTCACATCTCCACCTGACACAGAGCCTGAGGCTTCGGCCATCCTGTCCTCACAGGGTCTTCTTGTCAACTCTAGCCCAGGCCACATATTGGGCTGCTCAGGGGTGGTCCATCCCTGGAGACCAGAGGCTGGCGATGGCCCTCTGAGCCTCAATCTTCAAACTCTGGTGGCCTCCCCAGGGCATCTCTCAGAAAGAACTCAGACACCAAGAAGAGCCAGCTGAGCTCCTGACGCCTGTGTGATCTGGTGGGGACCTGGAAGGACTCCCTATGGCACCAAGGAAGTCTCCCCTCTGTCCCCAGCACCACCACCTTCGGGGCTGACCCCTTTATTACCGAGAGCAGACCCAGCCCTGAGTCTCAACCTCCCTCTGAGCGGGACGCTGTGGTCAGAGGGAGCTCGAAGACTCCTGTTAGCCAGAGCTAACTATCATTTTCACTGCGGGAGGGAAGTAACTCATGGAACACCACAGCAAATGTGTGACAGAGCCAGGGTGCTCGTCAAAGCCGTGTTCTTCACTGCTCTACCGCCCTGTGTCCCCCTCCTGGGACTGCCAGATTTAGCAAATAAAATACAGGATGCTCCATCAAATTTGATCTACAGATAACACATTTGCAATAGAAGGATGTCATCTCCTGGGTTGTATCTGGTTGTATCTGGGAGCAAGGTTCCCAGCAGGGTTCCCTGTGCTCCGATGCAGCTCTGGGGGGACCAGCCCCCAATTCCCAGGTTTGCCACCATCGCCACTCACCAGGATTCTTCTGTAAGGGAAGTCTTGCAGTTCCCCGTTCCTGGGGGAGTCAAAGACAACCGGCAGGGTTTTATGTGGAGCCTCAGTGTAGCCCAGCTCCATCTCATCCTGCCAACAAGGAGAGAGACGCCCAGCTGTGGACAGCCAGCTGCGCCCTGCTGGCTGGGCACTGAGCGCCCTGAGGAAGGCGGCTCCTGCCAGTTCTCTGTCTCAGCCTGTTGTTTGCCCTTGGAGGTGGGGGGGGAGGGGGAGGAAGCCAGATGACTGAGGAGACTCAGAGAGGAGATGCATTTGCCTACAGTCACACAGCAAGACAGAGGCTAGGAGTGAATGATAACATGGACATGACCTTGGGGGTGTCCCTGTGTCCATGTGCCAGAGATGGGTAGATATAGAGAGGGCCTCAGAGTGGCCTTAATTGAACCAACAGGCCACTGGGCATCAGCCACCTCCTCTGGCCTCCACACTTGGTCATCAGGGGCTGACCAGGGCTGAGGGACCCAAGAGGCCTAGCTATACCCAGCTGTGTGAGGTCCGGGGCAGTCCTGAGCCCTCTGGTAAGGAAGGCAAAGAGATGCTTACTAGTCTGCCTGGCCCTGACCTGAGCTCTGTGTAAACACTGACTCCACAAATCCCCACAAATAATAGAGGCTCTATTATTACCCCACGCGATAGATGGAGAAAATGAGGAACAGAGAGGTCATTTGCCCAAGGGCACACAGCTAGTCAGCCCCTCCCCTGAAAGTCTCTCCCCTTAAAGGCCCCTCCCTCTGGAGGCCCCGCCCCTGGGAACCCCTCCCCCTGGAGCTCCCTCTCATTCTCCAGCAGAGGTGATGCCTCCTGCAGTCCCTGCAGGTGCTCTGGGCACCTGGTTACATCCTGGTGCTTCTGTAGCAGTCACTCACTGTGCCAGGGCTGCTCACCCTGTACTATTAATACGTCACACCAGACCTCTCATTGCAGGGCTTGTCCTGGGTCTTGCAGGTTTAACTGCGTCCCTGGAAACCAACTGCACCCCCCCCCACACACACACCCAGTGTGTGAACCAAAAATGTCTCCAGCTGCTGCTGCTAAGTTGCTCTCAGCTCAGTTGCTGAGGGCAGGGAGCCTGTGTCCTGCATCTCACCATCTCACCCAAGGCCTAGCCCTGGTCTGGTGGGTAAAGGGTGCTAAGCCCAGGGGCAGCGTGCGTGCCAGGAGCTCCAGAAAGTTCTGGAGCGAGGTCTCAGGTCTCCATTAGGTAGAGCAGGGCATGCCCTGGAAGCACGCGGGTCCTCCTAGGAGTTTCTCGGCGGCCCCATTACAGAAGCCAGCATCTCCCTGCAGGATGGTGTCCTGCTAGGCCTGCCCAGGGCCATCATTACCTGGATCCAGCGGTCGTTGCGGTTCTCAGTCTGCGGGCAGATGGTCAGCTTGCAGCCGGCCTTCCTGACCAGCTCCTCCACGGCTTCCACAAAACACTTGTTGTTCCTCACACTGGGGACAAGCCCGGGGAGAGCGGCTCAGAGCCAGGGCCTGGGGGCCTAAGGGGTCATCAGGGTGAAGACCCCCACACACACTTCCCCAGACTTACCTGCACACATACACCTCCAGGGGTGGCTGGGTGCTGGGTGTCATGATCCAGGGTGCTACGCGGAACACCACGGTGTCGGTGAAGATCGGTGACGCAGAGAAATACTGCAGGGGAGCCAGAGGGAAAGAGCACTGACTCAGAGTCCAGCGGCCGCCTGTGGTCTTTAAGAAAGCCTTTTGCAACTGGGCATGGTGGTAAACGCCTGTAATCTCAGATAGTCAGGAGGCAGAGGTAGGAGGATCACAGTTCAATGCCAGCCCGGGCAAAAGCATGAAACCCTATCTGAAAAATAAACTAAAAGCAAAAAGGCATGGAGTGTGGCTCAGGTGGGAGAGCACAACCATGAGGCTCCGAGTTCAATGCCCCATACTCCCTCCTACCTTCCCCCCCAAAAAGCCCTTGGCTTCCGCCAGAGGATGGAGATGACCTAGCAGGGTGGGCAGGAAGTCTGGGGACCCTCATGCTGGCCAGTGATTCCTGAATCTGCCAGGAATGGAGCCCTTTTCTCACCCTTTGCCCAACCACCCCCTACCTCATTGGAGTCATCTAGCAGGGTGACATGGAAGGAGACCAGCCCTGGGAAGCCAGCATCTGGAAAGGAGAGGCCCTCCACGAAGAAGCGCTCCTCATCCCCATGGAGGCGAGGCACCTTGTAGGACACCTTGTCCTGGCCCAGCACGCACCTATAGGCCTCACAGGAGTCCTCGGGACCTGGGAGGGGAAGGAGAGTGGCCGTGACTCTCAGGCAGCCCAGGGAGCATGAGGGGCACGGCTTACCCTCCTCTCCCCACCCCCATCCCACCTGTCACTGCCCCCCACACACAGAGCAGAGAAGGCAGCTCAGGACCAAGGTGGGCACAGCAGGGAAGGGCACCCTTTCTAACTCCCAAAAAGGTCATGTTTGCCCCAAGCCACTTCTAGGTGTCTTTTCTATAAAAGCGTGCATGCAAATTTTAGAAAAAGCTCTCACTTGTGACTGTCCTCACGATGACCCCGCCAACCACACCCCCCCACCCAGGGCACCTCCTGGAGCTGGAGCAGGAGACATGGAGGTAGAGGAGGCTGCCCTGGCTGGGCACCTGGCACCAACTCACCGCAGACGTGGAAGACTCGGGCCCGCCCGGCATCATAGCTGGATGTGTGCAGGATGAGTTTGTGGTCATCAAAGAGGGCTGCAGGACCCTGTGTCCGCAGGACCATAAGGGACATGTCTTCCAGATCTGTGAGCCAGAGGGGCAGCGACTGAGAGGGGCCCTGCACGCCCACCCCTCCCGCTCTGGGGCACTGGGTGTCCCAGCCCCAGCTCGTGGATTGCTGGGCTCCGGCAGCAGAAAACCATGAAGATATCCGCGTGCAGGGTCGTGCTACCCTGCTTCATGTCCTCTGTAGGACCTATAGGAGCAGGGAGTGCGCAGTAGCCAGCCCGGTGCCTGGCACCCAAGAGGAGCTCGAGAGAAGCACCCTGCGTGCCCAGGGCATCCCGCAGGTGAGCCCCACCCTTCCCGGGTCTGGGCATTTCCACTGCCGAATGACATGGCTTCTGTGAGCGTCTCGTGTGGAAAGTACCTGTCCCCACCCCCCCCCAGGGTGCTTCTGCCTCATTCTTCACCTTAAGCATGGTGCATGCAGCAGAATGTGAGCATCACTCACATGCAGATCAGAGGTGTGGGGGAGAAGAGGGGTGTCTGGACTTGAAGCTGGAAGGGGAAGGCTTGGATGGACCACAGTCTAGCTTTGCAACTTCAGGGAGTCTCCTGACCTCTAAACCTCAGTGTCTTGTCCCTAAATTGCTTTGAATGCTTAATTAAGAATGTTGGGGAAATACATACAGTAGGTGCTCAAACAATGGCATACAGTAGGTGCTCAAGCAATGTTAGCATCCCCTGTCCCTGGAGCAGGTGAATGGTAGGAGGCTTCTTTCTAGGGTTTCTGCCCCAGCATGAGGTCCTCAGTGCTGAGGAATCTGGGGAGGAACAGCTACCAATCTGAGATGGGTTTTGAGGAATATCAGGGAGCTGGAATTTTTGCCCCCACTTCTGCCTCAAAGCCCTGCCTGGGGGTTGAGACCCCCTGCAGGGTAACTGAGCAGTGACCCTGGACATCAGGGATCCTCAAGCCCCTCACCTTGCAGGCAGCGCACATGCTGGTCGCAGTTGTCTTGGACGTCACAGTCCAGATTGTCGCGATCACAGTTCACCAGCAAGATGGCTCCATGCCCCTCAGGTCCCCACACCCACTGCCGCTGTCAAGAGAAAACAGCCAGTGATGGGGGCTCGGGCCAGTCTCCTGAATCTTCACCCTACCCTGGGAGGAGAGGTCTGTTTTCATGGAGGCACCCCCAGCTCAAGAAATGTCAGTGGCTCCCTATGTCCACACCGTGAAGTCCAAACCATCGAGATGTCTGTCATGGCTGTCTGTGAGTGCCTCCAGGCACGTCCTCTTTGTCTACAGGCAACTTCCTGATTACAGGGCCACAAGCGTCACACCCTGAGCAAGCCTCCATTCTTCCCTCCTCGCCTTTGATCCTGCTCCTCTCTGCATCTGGAATGCCCTCCCTCCTGCACCCTGCAGAGCCCTGCTCTGTGCACTTCCCTCAGGAAGCCTTCCTGGATCACCCAGCCACCTGGACCTTCTCCTCTGAACTCCCAAATCACTTAGTGCCAACACGGTTGGGTCCAAGATTTCTCCTTTCACCTGGATCTGGAGATTTGCACCAATGTCCTATGGACCAAATTGACTTGCTGCTTGTTTTTATAAATAAAGTTTTATTAGAACACAGTCACATGATTAGTGTATGCATTGATTGGCCACTTTCATACCACCACAGGGGACTTGAGATAGAGTGGCCCACAAAGCCTGAAATACTCACTCCCTGCCTTTCATTTTATTTAAAAAAAAAAGTTTGCCAAACCTTGATTTAGATCATAAATTCAGGTGTGGCTTAAGAGGTAGAGTGCAAAGCCCTGAGTTCAAACCCCAGTACCACCAATAAATAAGTAAATAATAAATAAATAGGCAAACGTTTTAAATAAATAAATCTGGAACTTTCCTCTGACAAACCAAAGCCTTCCCCAGGGCTGGCAACCTGTGTCCTTGTTCATTTTGGTGGTGAAGGTCCCCAGCCATGCCTGGTCCACATCTAAGCTTCTGACCTCAGCATCGGCTAGGCTACACGGGTCACCTGTCACGGCCTCTCCTTCTGACCCCAGCTTACAGCAGTTCCGCACTCCACGCCCCAGTCTGGGCCCAGGCAGAGAGGCCTACCTTGTCCACGAAGTTCCTGTCCTGCCTGCCCTCGCAGTTCAGGTCACAGTCCAGGGCGATGTCTGTGGGAGGAGGCAGCTCATTAGATTCCCAGGAGCTCAAGACAGGCCAGGGCTTCTGTGTGTCTAGCCTTATTCTCGGGCCCACCTTGCACTGGCAGATGTATTTCATCTCCCAGTAGACACAGCCCACAGGCGGGCTGGGAAAAGAGGCCTTAGGGAGGGAGGATCAGAGCACAGGCAGGGGCCAAAGGCTGCCCCCTCCAGGAAGCCTTCCCTGACTACTGCTCCCTCTTCTGCATTCCTAGAGCCCTCTCTGCCTAGGGCACACCCTACACTGAATCCAGGTGGCTGGGAGCATTCTCAATCCGTATGAAGCTGTCTCATCTCTTGGGCTGGGCTGTGAGCTGGACTTTGGTGACAGAGGATGTGGATGTGAGTAGGTCTCTGCCACCTACTGACTGTGTGACCTCTCTGAGCCTCAGCCTCGGTAGCGAGGGGCATTCTCCAAGTCCCACACCCCGCCCCCCTTGGAAAGTGGGTGAGATCTCAAAACACAAATGGAGTAGTTAAGGTGTCAGAACCAACCTTCCTGCACCCACAAAACCTTCCTAGCTGGCAGAGGAGTAGCTGTGATCAGAGAGGGGCGTGTGGGGGGACTTTGGGGTGCAGGTCATGTTCTAGTTCTTGGGTCGTGATATGTGTTGCAATTATTCAATTAACGTGTGTGTGCACATGTATGCACACACTCACATATAAAATAAAACCATGTATTTTCTTTATGTGTGCCGTCTAATGTGCGAGGGTTTGGAGTTGGGACAGATGCCCAGCCTTGCTCCTAACTAAAGAATGGGAACGACAATAAGATGACAAGTGATCAGACTGGCAAAACTGGAAGATGGTGATGCTGCCCAGCGTTGGCAGGTTCACACGTGGACAGCGGGTTGGCAAAGTCCTTCGAGTTTTAAATTAGCATCTGTGTCCCCGTTAGCCCGCCTGCCTGCATCTCCTTTCTCACTAACAGCGCTCCAGGTGCTCATACAGTCAGTCCACGGAGGACTTGTGCCCACAGAGGATCCCCAGCTCCACACCAGTGACTTAGGTGACTTTCCACGGTGGCTTTCTCTTCTGTGAATTGTTCATTGCATTCTTCTCATCCAATTGTCCTTTTCTCTTCTGATCAGACTTTTCATACTCTGTATGCAATATGTCAACCACACACATTGCAAATTTATTTCCTTTTCTTCTTTTTTCCTTCTACTTTCCTCCTGTTTTTATGAGACAGAGTCTCACTATGTAGCCCAGTCTGGCCTCGAACTTGAGATCTTCCTAATGTCCTTTCCCAATGCTGGGATCACAGGTGAGCACCACCACGCCGGGCAAGGTCACCAATTCCTGCTTTAGCTATGTGGTGTCCATTGATGAACCATCAAGAGCATTTTTCATCTCTGTTACTGTGATTTTTATTTCTAGAGTTTCCATTTGATCCTTTCTCACAATTTTCATGTCTCTGCTGAAATCCCCCACCTGCTCATGCACAGCGTCCAGCTTTTCTAGGAGGGCTTTTAACACAGGTGTCACACCTCTGTCTGATCATGTCAACTCGAGTCATCTTGCATGGAGTATACATATCAAGTCATGGAGAATTATAGAAAAAACTTCAAGTTGGAAAAATCCTACATTCCCATGTGCTTACAGGAAGGGAAGAGATGCAGCTAGGCTCAGGTCTCTTCATACGGCATCTGTTCGAAGGCTGCTGGCTTTGGGGACCCAGAGATCTTGGTTGGACGGGAGGAGGTTTACTTTTCAGTGTATGCTCTTGTACTGTTTGGATTTCCTAATGTACACTACTCTAACTGGCTTTTTTAAAAAGACTCCAGTTCAGGGTCATTCCCAGCCACCACCTCCCTGTCTTTGGTCAAGGCCCCTTGGCCAAGTCCCCAGCTTACCAACACACGTGAGGTAGAGCACAGCGTAGGCCAGGGGCAGCGGCTTGTGCCTGGAGTGGTAAGAGATCTGCACCTGCAGGGGGACAGACAGAGTCATGCTGGTAGAAACTGAGAGTCCCAGGCCCCCAAGATAGTCCTTGAGGGATGTGATGAGGAGGGCGGAGCCTCAGCTCTTCCTTTAGCTTTCTCTGGGCTGTCCATTTTTCCATGCCTTGGTTGGCCCATCTGTAAAATGAGAACGATTTGTGAGGGATTCTGAGTCAGTCTTACCAATGAGGTCCTGTGGGATTGTGGCCCCCCCATACCCTTTGGGTCTCAGTTTCACCATTTGTAAAATGAGGAGTTTGGATCAGGCAGGATTTAAGAATCCAAGAATCTCCAGGATCACAATCTGAGGCCAGCCAGTCAAAAAGCTAGAGACCCCATCTGAAAAACAACCAAAGCGAAGAGCTGGGGGTATGACTCAAGCAGTAAGAGCTCCTGCCTAGCAAGCATGAGGCCCTGAGTTCAAACACCAGTACCAACAAAAAAGAAAGAACAGACTCTAAGCCAGCCTTCCCATCCGTGGGACTCAGGCATGCCTGGTTTGAGCCCAGCCTTCCCTGTGGCCTGGGTCAAAGCCATCGCTCTCTGACTGAGCTGCCTTGGCTTTCTCGCCTGCAAAACAGGGATCATGCAGGTCCCCGCCTCGGAGGACTGCAGGGCAGCTTAGAACAAAACCGAATGACTGAGCCTCTGGAAATGCCCAAGAAACACCAGCTGTGGTTACCAGTGGAGACGGCAGGGTGGGTGGGTCAAGGGCAGAGATGGGCTCACATCCTGCAGCCGCCACTTGTGGATATCCTGGGAAAGTTGACCTTCCCTGGGCCTCGATTCCCTCAACTGTGAAGTGGGGGCGCTAACGGGTCCTACCCCAGAGGATCCATTCATTGTAAGTCATGAGGATTAAAGGAGTGGAGCTTGTGGTAGGCTCAGAATGGTACTCAGCGAGTTCCCAGTAACGATGAAAGGTAAGAACAAAGATGGCAATAAAGGGACTAGAGGCAGACGCATCCAAGTCCCCTCTGAGCCACCAGCTGGGACACACCTCTGAGATCACGTCCTTCAACCCCCAGGCTCTGATACCCTCATCTCAGCCAGGACATCAGACATCAGGATCTTGCAGAGGCCACTTACCCCTCAGTCCTGGGAGCCCCCAAATCCTGCAGCCATGGACTCCCCTGTGCCAAGCCCCAGCAACAGCACTCTCCCCATATCTACAGATCCAGGGATTGATAAGGTAGGAGGGGCAGAGCGTGAGGAGGACCCTGACTTTCCTCAGTCCTAGTGGCCCCTGGGGCCGAGTGGGTGGGAGCCACCCACACAGCCCCATCCTGCAGGGCACCCAGAAGAGACCTTCACATGCTGGCTGGTCCTCTGTGTTGCTCTGGGGACTCTGTCCTAACCATCACCAACAGCGCTACTAACTAGGACACATGGCTCTGAGTAAGCCATGCCCCTTCTCAGTCAAAGATTCTAAGTCTAAAAATTGGGTTCATTGAGCTCAGAAGAGAGGCTTGATTCAGACCCACGGGTGCGAAGAGAGGTGAGGCGATGCGGGAACCTCTGTTCAATTGTAAGTTTCCTGTGCATTTGCTGTAGACCGTCCTGGACGGTCACTCTGAGTCTCGGATGCCCCACTTGGGAAAGGGAGCTGGTCTCTGTCCCTCAGGGCTATCATGAGGGCTGGGTGAGGTGACAGCCATGCAAGGCCAGGGCTGCTTTCCAAAAACTCTTGGCATGGAGAGGGAACCACCTTCTCCCACACACCCAAGTCCTTTCTCAGGCATCATCTGTGCCCTGCTCAAAGGCCACCTATTTTCTTCCATGTTATATTGCTGTCCCTTGCAAATGGTGGATCAGGGGACAGTGGAGTCCTCAGGGAAATGTCACCGAGGAAGGGCACTTCCCCAGCTAGCACCATCCCTCCCCATCCCTGCTTTCTCCTTCATTCAGGGTGGCAGAGATTGCCTAGCCAACCCAGTCCTACAGATGGGGAAACTGAGGCCCAACACAGCAGAACTGGGCTGGCTCTTCCCTTCACCAGGTCTTGGGAAGCCAGAGAAGGAGCAAACACTGACTCCTGTCCACCCCCCCCCAAAAAAGGTGCCATGATGATCCCCACATCACAGATGGGCACACAGAGGCTCAGAGACTGACAGGACTGGACTGAGGACACACAGTTTGGGTTTGTGAGCTACAGAGCTGAGACTCCCCCCAGCAGTCTGGCTTCCGGGCTGGATGGGGGGCTCCCCCGCCCTGGCCAGGGACCAGCTCACGTGACTGTCATTGAGGTCATTGCTGGGGGAGTTCATGACCACGATGATCTCCAGCCCCTCGTTGAAGTGCCAGCGCCTGGTGTCAGCATGCTCCCGTCTCCTCTCGATGCTGGGAGAGATGTAAATGTCCACGCCTGGGGTCCCGTAGATCTCAAACATCTCTGTGCCCTCAGGAACTGACCTGGGAAGAACAGGGTTCACATGTTAGAGCTTTGGCTCAAGCCCCACTTCCTCCCCCAGGAAGCCTTCCCTGACCACCCTGGCCTCTTAGACTCTCACAGCCAGCTCTGGGCAGTGGAGTCCAGGTCCCAAACACATACACGCACTTCTCATGCCCCCGAGGCTCTGGGTCCACAAACATTTCCCTCCCAACAAAACTGCAAACTCCCTGGAAGTCAGGACCCAGCTCTGCTCTCTCTAGCAACCTGGTACCCAACTGGGCAGAAAGAGCTCAGGAACAGCATTGTGCAATGGACTCCCTCCCTGTTCTGACACTGTAGCTTTAAGAAGAGCTGTTCTCACCCAAATCCCAGCAGGTGACAAGGTGTCAGGAGAGTCCCCCTTAGGAAAGGGAGTCAGGCTGAGTGCCCTGTGTGGTGGGCAATTTATACTCACCAGTCTGCAAGGTGAGGTCACACAGCACCAGATGGCAGTGCCAGGTTTGAACTTGGGTCTCTCCAGCTCTGAGCCTGAGCTGTGTCGCCTGGGACACTTGGCCAGATTCAGTCAAACAACCAAGTGTTAATTGTAGGTTTAAAACATCTGTGATGCCATCTGGCACCGGGATGGCATTCCCTCGTTTCTGCTAGTCTGAGTTCTTCTTGGAACCCAGCCTACCCGTCCTGGTTGTGGGGTGCCCGCCAGGGCTTCTCACAGCAGGGGAATGAGTCACAGCAGAGCTGGGGAAGGAGGCCACGAACCCGGGGGCTCTGTGGCTCCAGGACCAGAATTAGGAGTCAGGTGGAGACCAGGGTGGGTCACACATTAGGTGACACTAAGTCACTCACCCTCTTGGTCCAGTCACCTCACCAACAACACGAGATAACGACACCCACTTGGCCAGTCAAGGCTCAGATGTGGCATAGGTATTACAGTAAATTAAGAGACAGGGAACCTGTGGGTGAGGCCATTGAGACAGTGAGCTGGGACGGCTGGGGAAGGGCTCTCAGAGGAGATAGGTCTGAGGGAAAGGGGTTTTACCATGAAGCCTCAGGAGGTCAGGTTTAGACTGTGACAGGTTTGTTTTCACTTCATCTCTATGTAACGGGGAGCCAGTGATTGTTCTTGATTAGGAGGGCAGCACAATGGAACTGTGGCAAGGTAGTTAAGCCTGTGGGGCCAGGCAGCCTGGGTTCAAATCTCACCACAGCCTTGAGGGCGTGATTCAGCCTCCCCCAGCCTCAGCATGGCTATGCTAAGGCACTTGGAATGAGTGAAAGTCATAACTTCATTTTACTGCTAGGGAAACTGAGGCCAGAAGAGAAGCGATCAGAAGGTGGGGCTCCAGACTCTGCGTCTAAGCACTCACTCTGCAATGGTTCCTCAGCCCTGGCCACACATCCCTCTGTTGGGAGGATTGAGGGAATGGCTGCTAGAAGGAGAGCCTGTGTCAGGTATGGCAGGATCCAGACTCCTCACTTCCTAGAAGACAAGGCGGGCACCTGGGCAACATCGGGTCTGGCTATTGGAAGTTTCAGTGTGGCTATCACCTCATACCACAGTGTCTGGGCTCCTGATCCAGCCGACACTGTCCACACTTAGGACTGTCCTAGTCCCCCCACCCTCCAGCCAGCCTCAGAGGGTTGGGACATGTGTTTCCTGGGATGAAGAAGATCCGTGTTAAAACCAGGAAGGTCCCTACAAACCAAGACAGGTGATTACCCTAGAGAAAGCCAACCTCAGGCCACCTTTGGAACACACAGCTTCCCAGTGACACAGGTGGCCCCGAAGCCTGTATTTCAGACTCTACTGATGCCCACTGTGGCTGACCCCATGGTGAAGAGTGGGCTGCTCAGAAAGGCTGGCCCCTGACCCCCCAGAAGCATAAGGACAGCGCCAGGTGAGGAGAAGATGTTGCTCAGATGACACAGCCATGGTGACAGCTCAGATCAGGTCTCAGGGTTCCTGGCTCCATCAGGCAGTCTTTGGGTGCCGTGACTCACCTGCCCTCCCAACTAGGGCAGCGGTTCTGCACACGCCAGGCTCAAAAACGCTCAATGCCATGCCTCCGACAGATAAGGCAAGCCAGACTCTCTGAAGGGGCCCCAAGCAGCATATCTTTTTCCTCTGCAGCTCTGGGGATCAAACCCAGAGCCTCGTGCATGCCAGGCAAGCACTCTACCACTGAGCTACCCCCCAGCAGTACTTTTTTAAAGGCCCTAGGTGACTCAAATGTGCAAGCAGGGTGGGGACCTCCACTGGAGACAAGAGGAGGCTGCCAGCTCATTGCCAGGTGTGGTCCCTTAAAAGACACCTGCTAACGGAAGAAGAGATCCTCACTGAAGGAGATCAGTGGCATCCATCCTCCTATTTTTTTTAAGACCTACCCCATGGGGCTGGGCATGGTATTGTATACCTGTAATCCAAAATACTCAGGAGGCAGAGGTAGGAGGATTACAGTCCAAAGCCAGCCTGGGCAAAAACTTGACACCCTGTCTGAAACTAAAAGAGTGGCTCAAGTGGTGGAGCACCTGCCTAGCAAGCACAAGGCCCTGTACCACAAAAAGGTGTGCATCGTACACACTTGGGGCTCTGAGCCCTTAGATCAAGTCTTCCAGCACCGAGCTTCCACAAGCTCCCCTGAACCTCCATCCAGGTGAGTCTTTGCCTCTGTGACTCGGGTCCCCTCACCAGTAGTCATGGACTGACTTGGGAGACCTGCTTCCTAGTTTTGGCTCTGCCCCGAGCTCGTTCTGTGGCCCTGGACAAGTCATTTCATGATCAAGACTCAGTTTTCCTATTCAGAAAATGAAGGGGTAAGAGAGATGCCTCACTGAGCCAGTCTGGGGGCTGCTCTTCAAGCCCACCCGTGACAAGTTCCAAAGGTGACCAACTTCCAGGTCCTCACAGCCACAATGGGACAGATCCCAGCAGTGTGTCACATGTCTTAGGAGTGTCAGGTCAGATGCTTCCAGTCTGGCTGCCATTCTCACCATGGCCAGAGACTGGCCCTGGGATGAGCCCACCGCCAGAGTCGTCCTGGGAGTGTGACACTGCCTGGCGAGAACTAAGGCTGCCTTCCTCCCACGCTAGCTCAGTCTGAGACCTGACCTCATCACTGGCCTTCTGGCATGTTGGGGAGCATGGTGGGTGGCGGGGTGTGAGGGGTGACACACTGGACCACAGCACCTGGCGACTCAAGTCCAGCTGTGCCTTATAAGTTAGGATGTGCCCGCTCTTGTCCTCTGACCCCTTCATGCACCTGGGAAACGGAGGCTACTGTCTTCCTCCAGGTGCCACAAGAAGTAATGGAGACCCCAGGGACCTAGGGTGGGCTCACGCACCCATGTTTCACCTTTTTTTCCCTTTCTCTGTTCTGAGACCCCCTGCTCGAAGCCAGGCCCTGCCATCTCCCACTCACAGGAGGCAGGAGGACAGGGTGGAGTCCACTGCCGCTGATGGAGAGGCTGGGACTCTCACCTGTGCTCATCTTTCAAGGCTCTGGCTGGGCCCCTCTTAAAGGAAGCCCTCACTGGCTGCTCAGCCCTTACTAATTCCTCTTCTCTCCTCTTCTCCTTTAGTGTGGCTCATACCATTCCCCAGCCTGACTTGGGAACTCTTGAAAAGTCCACAGGCTCAGGACAGAGCCCTAAAATGGTAACAATGGTTACGGATACCAGAGTTGAACGTTCCTCACATGCCAGGCATTAGCTGGGTACTCCACGCACACAATTCTCCCAACAGCCCTTTGAAGTAAGGGCCAAATTGTTCAGGCTGCATTCTGACTCTCCACTCAGTGGCTACATGACCTTGGATGAGTTACTTAACCTCTCTCTGCCTCAGTTCCCTCATCTGTACAATGGGGTGATGTCAGCACACAGCTCTGGATCATTGTGAGTTGGGTAACCCAGGAAAAGTACTACGGGCACCTGGTGCTAAGCTTACTTGCTGCCACCACTACTCTCCCCATTCTGCAGAGGAAGAAATAGAGACTGGGGGAGGGGAAGAAAGAACTTGTCCAAGATTAGACAGCTGGGAAGTCATAGTCACATTGAGTCACTACACGTGCTGTCCTTTCTCTTGCGAGCCACAGGCTGAACACCCAGGACTGTTAAAGCAAGGCACGTCCATGTGGAAAGGGACCTTAGCGATAGCCCTGCTCTACTCTTTTTCAAGACCTGGATCCTGTCCACAGCCCCTGCTAGGAGCCCCGTAGGCAGGGACAGAGCCTGCTCGTGCCCCTCTGTGTGTGTCCCCACAGCCTGACACACACTAGCATCGAAAGAAATGTGATGAATGCACAGATGAGCTAGGAGTTCCACTCCCCAGGGGCAAGGGGGGGCTGGTCATTGGGGTCCAAGGATTCCCCCACTTGAAGATGTCAGAGCCCCTACCCAACATCTCTTCTGTGAACCCCTGTGGCCAATCTCAGGTCACCCACCACTGGCTGCCTTTGCCTCTCGTTGCCCCAACCTGTCCTCGGGGGGAGAAGCCAGCCCAGCTACCTGGACGGGTCAAACTAGAGACAGATCTGCCCGAGGGGCACGAGGCAGCTGGGCAGGTGAGTCACCCACAGGCATGCAGCCTTGGAGCAGGCGGTGGCGCCAGGCAGCACGGCCTGTCCTGCCTCCTCCGGCTCCTGCCTGCTCCTAGGAGCCACCCAATCCCCTTCCCATTCCCATTCGTCATGGCCTCCCCACCCTCAGCCAGCTTTAGTGCCTAGTTCCCAGTGGGGCTGGGCTTTCTCCAGACTTGGTTTCTCCCACGACCTGCTCCTCACCCCCTCTCATCTATGCTCTGGGGACCATCTCTCCAGCTAAGTTCAATCTTTAAATTCTTAGGGACACTTGTTCTCAGAGAGTGGTGACTTCACCCCCCCTAGGACTCAGTCAGCACTATCTGGAGACAGTCTTGGTTGTCACAGAAGGGGTGGGGGGTGCTACTAGCCTCCGGTAAGTGGAGGTGAAGATATTGCCTATAATGCCCGAACAGCCCCACAATAGCCACTCATCGTGTCACAGTGCCTAGGATAAGAATCTGGCCCAAGGAGAGGTCTGAGAGCCAAGAGGTAGCAATAATTACAGGTGTCTGTGTCCTCCCCTCCCAGCATCTTGGTCACTTGTCCTCAAAAGTCCCGAAGCCAGATCTTTGGTGGATCCCAGTGCCCAGCTCCAAACACTCTTTTCCTTCCTCAGAGAGAAAGAAGGTGTGACCTCACTTCCCACCACAGTCATAAAGGCCTTCTCTGCCACACGACTGAGCATAATACACGGATGTTGAGTGACTGTGAAAGAGACCGGATCTGAGATCCCGACTTCCACGAGTGAAGAAGGCTGGAAGCAGAAGACCTGAGTGAGACTGCAGGTGGGCTTGAAGCCTGGCTCCATCACTTGGCTACTGTGTGACTCCAGCAAATGGTTCACCCTCTCTGTACCTCGATTTGCCCATCTGTCTGACAAGGCGATGCTCACAACAAGACCAGACCAAGGGGTCGTAGTCAGGGTGTAATTTGAGTTTACATTCAAGGGTTAAATTCCAGAGGCCTGTCAAGCTCTGACAATAGACATCATTATTTCAAATATGATTTCCTCTCTGTTGTCAGGTACATAAGACCAGGGGTGGCAGGGGCGGGTAGCTGCCTTTTCCTGTTCTTGACAGACCACCAGGCCAGCCTGCAGGATCTCTAAGTAAAGTGCCTAGCCCTGCCACCCCCCTACCATGGCACCAGCATCCTCCAAGATGGAGCTAGGCCACTGCAAGTCTCCTCTGCCCCCTCCATCTTCTGCCATTCAGCTGACAATTCAAGGACCCAAACATCCCTGCTTGACTGCAAGACTGGGGAGTGGGCAACCAGGCCAGGGCCCTGAGGAAGCCCACCCAGTTCCCAGGGAAGAAGACTGCTGGGAGTGAGTACCTAGGACCCAAAAACCCTCCAGGGCCTCCATCCCTTACCCATAAATGTCCACGATGGTCTCCACGCCAGCCACACACACGGCACTGGTGGGATGATCCAGGGACACACGTACCATCCTTTGCAGCGACATGCTGGCCTTGGACTGGGCTTTGGCTACCAAACCCAGTACTGCTCAGAGCCCCCTCGGGATGTGGTTTAAAAGTCCCCGACCCCACCCCTCCAGCCCAGAATGAAGCTCATTGGCTCCAGTCCTGGAAGCCCAGCCCCTTCCCAGATGCCCGAGGCAATCCTCTCTTCAGGATTGGCTGGCAGGGGCCCCGGTATTTGCATATGAACCTGTTGCTCCCATGATGGGCACCCAGGGCGTTAATTTCTCCCTGTAAGGGAAGCAAGTCCCCACAGGTGCTTAGCCAGGGCATGCGGGCCAAGGGAGCAGGGTTGTTGGGGAAGGAGGAAGGTGTGCGGAGATGTGCAGCATTGATCTCGGTCCTTCCTTGCCCCCTCGCCTCTTCTTCCTGCATTTTCAGAAGCAATATGTTTCATGGGGAGCTCCTCTCTGAGGCTGGGGAAGCCAGCGGAAATGCAGAACCCCAGGCCCCGCCTCCGATCTGATGCAGCCTTTTAGAAGTACAGGTAGCGTCTTTGTTTTTTACAATCACTGCAAAGCATTTTGGTGCTGTTGAGAAACACCAGCCTTTTTCTTAAGTGCATGGGTGGGTGACCTTGGGCAAGTCACTTCATTACTCTGTGCCTCTCTTTTCCCATCTGAGGAATGGCTGCATGGAAGCTAACGTGGACCAACGCCGGCGGAGCTCTAGTATGGAGCTTGGCATTATCTCATCACCATTGTTGTTATTATTGGATGCCAAGACCTCTGAAAGGGGTAAGTGATGAGGACGAAGATTGTCCCTAGCCAATAAGAGTCACGGTATGAAGCTCATTGTCAGGAAGGGAAACTGAGGCTGGGGATCACCTGGAACAGTGAGAGCAAGGGCTCTGGGAAAGGGAATCTTGGATTCCTATCCAGGCTCCACCGTGCTCCAGTGAAGTGGCCTTGGGGCTTGTGTCTGATCTCTAGGGCCTCAGTTTCCTCATCTGTAGAAAATGTGGCTAGTCACCAGCATTGGCAGAGATAATGGCCAGGCTGCACCCTGCCCGGCGGAGGCTCAGAAGATGCTGAATCGAGGTCTCCTCCCGTCCATCTGCTAGGGCTGACCATCAGGGCAGGGACTTGACCTGCTCCCCAGTGTCCCCAGCTGGTACACTTGCACCAGCCCGCCCGAGGATCTCAGTGGACACTAAGACCATCACTCCTAAAACCCAGTTTCCAGGAGGGACGTTCTTTCCAAGGAATGCTGGCAAGCCTCTTGGTCCAGTGACAACTACACTTTTTTCAGCCTGGTCGCCAACACAGCTCTGGGTAAGGGCTAGAGTTTAGGAGGAAGCCCCAGGAAGCCTCCCTTGCCTGCCCACATCTGAGTACAGTTGGGGGGTGGTGGGGGATACAGAAAATACCCCAGCCCCGGCCTCCAGGTACTGGCCCACTATACTGGAGACAGGAGCAGTCTCCATCTCAGCCCTGTGTCTCCCTTTGGAAGTGGACCCATGTCTTCATCTCTCCCCAGCTATCAGATCCATGGTTCATTCAGACTAAAGTGTCAATGACAGATGGGCAGTGTTATTTTTGCTTCCTAGTCTGTTACAATAGCTAAAATGAGTGAGTGAGTATCCAAGGTGCAATCTGGGGCAGCGGCAAGGGTATAAGACGAGGGGATGATGTTTTTGGGCCTTAAAATGAGACCACTGTGGCTCGACTGCGTGGTCTCCACTGGCCTCCTTCCGAATGACTGAATGACTGTGTCCCGGGATTCCCACCCCCGCAATCCACAGGGCCCAGCATCAGTTCCACCTCTCTTCCGTCCCTGACAGAGAGAGGCAGAAGGAGGAGAGGTCAGGGAGCAAAAAAGGAAGAGATGGGACCCTCCCTCCTTCTCATCCACTTTCCAGCAGTCAGCCCTAGGCCACTCGGGATGTGCCAGTCTTTCTGCTGAATCGGTGGTCACCTGGCACTCACCAACCTGGACCCGGGGTGCTCCTGTGCCTGTGGCCACAGAAGCTGAGCCTAGGAGCTGGTAGCAGAGCCTCTTGTTGTCCTTCCCTTCTCCCCAGTCCGGCAGGCAGAGGCAAAGGAGGCAGCCAGAATGCATGCTGACATTTTTTATTGATCAGAAAGGGGCTGACTGAGTGCCCAGGATGTCCTGAGCTGACACCAGGACCCCCAACAGTACTGACAGCAATTCCAGAGCCCTCCCCACCACACACACTCAGCACAGCTCTGCAGGCCTGCTCCCACACTCCTCCCAACCCTACCCTTCGTCCACCTCAGCCCTTTCTCCTTCCTGGCCCAGACTCCAGCTGGGTCGTGGTCATAAGAGGGCAGTCGGGTGAGAACAGGAGCTTGCAAAGGGGTTCTGCAGAACCTTCTGGAAGGGGAGGAGCCAGGTTCCTGTCAGCACACATTTGCCATACTCATTCCATGTAAGCCTTCACTAAGTGTTCCATGGCAAGAAGAGTGACAGCAGCTGCTTCAGTCTGGGTCTCAACAGGGGCCACCAGCAATGCAGACAGGCAGAAGTCCAGGAGCTAGCACCCATTGTGGTACCCCAGCCTGCGGGGAGGAGGGGAGGCCAGTTCCGTCCTGTCTGCTGTGCATCCCCAGCCTTCCTGCCTGCACTTGCCTCTGTGACCTCACCCAGGGCCATTGGCCTCACATGGCAGCTCTCTCTGTCCTACCATGGCAGGAGACTTGGGCCTGCTTGGGGGTTTGCTCTCAGCACAACACAGGCTCTAGGCAGGGCCCCTTGGCTGCTGCAGAACAGCAGGTCGCCTCCCCCTCCCACTGCCTGCAGGAGGAAGGGGAGTAATTAAAGACAATTAGAGAAAATTACGCCCACCTTCAGAGATAACCTAATTGTCCCCCCACCCTCTGCTAACATCTGGGCCACACCCCGCCACATCTGGAAGCCAGCCGCCTTCAGATCCCAAAATCCAAAGCCAGGGAGCCTCGGGGCACAAAAGCCTCCTGTCCCCAAGATCCACAGTCACCTCCTTTAGTCTCCTCTGCCACCCTAGCCCGGTCCATCCGTCCTGCCCAGCAGTACTCCTTAGGGTGGCCTCCCCAGCCTCCCTTTGCTTCTCAGCACTTTTAAGCCGGAAACAGCTGGCTCTCATAATTATAGGCTTCCCAGCCTGTAACAAGCACCCTCTGACCATGGAGTCAGGTATTAAAGGGGTTTTGTTGCCTGCTTTTTTCTTCTTCTTCTTTTAAAAATAGGCCCCAGGATACTGGATTTCCTGTCCTTGGCTGCCTACATCTAGTTAAAAGATGCTGAGTGACACAGCCTGGGGTTCCCTTTGGAAAGAGAACACCTCAAATATTTTTGTCTCATAAGAGCCAGAGACTGCCTAGAACTAGAGGCTTCACCCCAAAGCCCAGGTACTCTGGTCCCCATTCCTGGGGCAGACCCTAAGCCATTTTCCTCTGATTCCTGGAGGCATCAGAATAGAGGGAGGGCAATTCAAACTGGGGTCCACCTGCCTAGGCCACTCACAGCCATACTTGAACATGCTAAGGCTGCTGATCTTGAACCTCTGGGTGCCGTTGATGAGAAGAGGAGAGGGGAAAGTGAGGTCTGTCCTTCCTGAGCTGGGCAGAAGGGCAGTATGTGCCCCTTGGAGTCTGGTGTCCACAGTGGCCGGCCTGTTTGCAAGCTCTGAGGTCACATCCCTTGCCCTGGGACGCCGCACCAGCAGGGCAACCAGGACAGCTGCCTGGGCCTGGTCAGGGCACTGCGTGCCACCACTTGAAGGCGAAGGGCTTCCTGCGTACGTTGGTGCCACAGTGGATCTCCCCGAGCAGCTGATGGTAAGAGAGATAGTCGTCAATGAAGACGCAGTGCAGGCCAAGCGGCTCCAGCAGGGAACGCACCTTCTCTTCCAGGCAGCAGCGGCCATTGATGAGGGGCCCGAAGGGTTTGGGGATGCCCAGGTACTTGCCTAGGACCACCATGTTGACCTGAAAAAGACAGAAGGCAAGAGGGAGGCTGTGCTGGCTGCGGAAACTCTGCACTTGATGCCCCTCCTGGACTCTGTGCCGGCCCCTCCCCAGTGTGTCCCTTGTCCCTGCCAGCACCCCTGGGCCACCAGGACTGGAGATGGCTCAAGATAGCAGAGAATAAATAGATGTGTGGTTGGAAGGAAGGGTTAATAACAGCCAAGGCTGTCAGTGACATACACAGTAATTTTGTAGCAACTGTATGAATCAGTCACCCTTTCTTCCAACACTTTCTTCCACCTACCGGAAAGTTGTCATTTTATAACAAGTTTGTTAGAACAAGAGATTTTACTGTCACCTGCCAGAAAATGCTTACAACAAATACACGGAGTTATAAGGTCTATACTGTGAATATCCTGAGTCCTGCGTGTTCTCTTAAGCACGGACTTGTGCAGTACACCACTCGCTCAACAGTCTTCACCAACCCTGATCATTGTGACTGGCGGCAAAACCCATGCTCTTTACCCAGACTCTGCCAGAGTGGGGTTACCTGTGAGGCTGCGGAAATGGGGATAGGGGCTGAGAGCCCCTGGGGACACTGAGTTTACCTCTGGTGGCACGTCTGTGTCCCTTGGTTGTGAACCTGGCTTAGAGCCTCACATGCAGACCCCCGACCTTGGCCTTGAACTACCCAGTTGCTCACTAGTGGGCTGGAACCTGCTGGGGTGGGGTGGGGCACACAGGGGACAGAGGGCAAGGTGGGGAGCTGGAGTCAGGTCCACAGTCATGACCAGCCAGACCTCTGCTCCCTTCTGACAGAGGAGTCAAGAGATCAGAGCTGACCCAACTCTGCCACTCACTCACTATGTGACTTCAGGCAAGTCACCCACTCACCTTCTGAGGGCCTCAGTTTCCCCAGCTGACAAATGAGGTCAACTGAGTATCTCCTGAGGGCCCTTCCCATCTGGACACATTGTAATCCCTCAGCAGAGCCAGGACTGAGCTGAGAAATTCCCACAGACAGCAACTGTTAGGGAGGGAACGTCTAGCAGACAGAGGCCAGACCACAGCCCAAGGAGGACTGACCAAGGTCATGGGCTCCAGCCTCAGCCAGAACCAATGCCTGGTGGTCCCTTAGAGCTTCACTGTCCTAAAGGGTCACCAGCAGCCACATGTGACAGTTTACATTTAAATTAAATCAATGTTTCCATGCTTTATCCATACTGATCACATTTCAGGAGCCTGTAGTCACCTCTCCATGATGGCACTTTTTGTATTGTATGAACAATACCTAGAGCAATGTCACCATCAACAGACAGCACTGCCTTCCAGCAATGGTTCTCAATGAGGGAGGATTTCACCCTATGGCATTTTGGGTGGTCACAACTGGGGTGTTATTGCACCTAGAAGGCACATGTCAGAGACCCTGCTAATGCCCTGCAGTGCACAGGATGCCCCCCACAAAGGATTGCCAGCCTGGCTGGCAGGACCCATGGAGTGGAGAAGCCCTGGCTTCGGCTCCCACCAACACATGGGGGTTGGACCTCACAGTGAGGATCCAGGAACCAATGTGGACCTCTGCACCCAGCTCCAAGCCGCATCCTGGTCCCAGCATTCAGTGGCTTGTCCGGTGTGAGGGACCCAAGATGAAAGCACATTGTGAAAAGGGGAGGGTCCTTCTCTACCCCAGGGGACCACCGCTCACAGCTGCCAACACCAGACATCCCTTCCCAGGAGGTAATAGCTACTGCGGCTATGCCTGCCCTGATAGCATCACTCAGGCCTCTCCCAGGTGACAGCAGGGAGTATCACATCTGCTCATCTGCTTGTCAGCTGCCAGGGTAATGAGAGCTAGTGAGGCTCCCTGCCTCACCTGTCCCACTCAGGAGACCCTTGGGCAGCCACAAGTGGGGGTCAGGGTGGGAACAGAGCACGCAGCTGAGCCCCCAAACCAAAGCTGAAACATTTGTAAGCAAACCGCACTTCCTTTCTCTTTTTCTTCTTCCATTTGGAAAATGAAGAGCCCATTTATGGTGGGGACTGCCCTGAACACTGTAGAATGTTTGGCCACACCCTGGCTGCTGCCCACCTGACAAAGGTACCTCCCTCCCCACTGTGGCTTTCAGAGATGCCCAGGACACACAGTACCCTAGCTGGGAACCACTGACAAATGTCCTCTGTCTGCACAAGCAGGGCTGGCTCCACTCCAGCCTGTGTGTCCATCTGTCCTTGGACACAGGTTGCTGCTTCTCTCCTGCCAGGACCCTGCAGACCTGAGGACTCTCACCATGTCAGGGAAGAAGGCCTCCGCATAGGCTCCTTTCAGGGAGAAGAGCTGCGGGATGTCCACAATGTCACCCTCAGCCAGGCCCAGCTCCCGCTTCAGCACCTCACGGTTCCAGTCGATGCACTTCTGGGGAGGAGCCAGGACAAGAAGGATGTAAGTCACCAAGCGCCTACTGAGTGCTGCACCTGTACACAGCCTTGCACACCTGCCAGGTCCTGTGAGCCTCTCACAGATCTATGTAATTGAGACCTTGCTGTCCTGAGATGGGGAAACTGAGGCTCAAGCAGACTGTCCATTGCCACAGAGACAGAGGTGGAGCTGGGGTTTAGACCTGGGCACTTTTTGGTCCCCAAAGTCCTTGTCACTTTCACACACTGTCCCAGTCCCAGCCACAGCATAAATGGTCCAGTTCCACCTCCGTCTTTTAGGGGAACATGCACCCAGAGGCCTAGGGGCCCCCTCCATTGACCGAGCTCTGTGCCATGCATGCATGGAAGACATCGTCCTGGGGCAAGCCCTGCCCCTTCCAGAGGTCTCCTTCCACCTGTGCTCTGCACGGGGTCCCTCAGCCTCACCCACAGCACCCCATTTCTCCCACATATCTTGAGCTCACCACACTTCTCCCACGAAGACTTGGAGTTGCTTTCGTGGAAATAGCTCACTTCCCCAGAGTGGTGCCAGGGCTCCCTCATCAGACTGGAGCTCCCTGAGGGCACGGCCCTGTCTCTTCCACCAGACTGTGAGCTCAGGAGGCCGGAAACTCTGTCCCACCCCTGCCACTAGGACAAGCAGAGGCCCTCAGTGGTTCTGCCCCTCACCTGTGCATGGAGACTGTCGCTCCTGAGGTGTCTGTCCGCCAGCATCTCATTAATACTCCTCTTTACTTTGTGTTTTAACCCTGCGAGAGAAAGACAGCAGGTGGGGTCAGGGAACATGAACTGGGAGCCACCACAGGCCAGGGGCAGCTAAATCCAGGCCAGGATTTCCTGGAAGCCTTGGAGGAGCAGACAAGACCTGGTAATGGATCAGAACCCTCTTTGGAACAGACTCTGGAATTTGGCCTAATAATTACAGTGCAGCTATCATTACCAACGCCCACCATGCTCTGAGAACCCAAATTAATTTATTATCAATCTTTAAAACAATCCTAAAATGAGATTAATTATCACTGCCAATGAAGAGAAGAGGAAACTGAGGCTCTGAGAAGTTCAGAGCACATCCTTGGTTGGTACCACTGCCAGCAAGTAGTAGGAGTAGGGTGTTGGTGGGACTCAAGCCAGCCCAGGGTTCCACAGGAGAAGGGACTAATCTGAGGACACAGTTGTGAAATGCACCAATATGAAAGTGCCCAGGGATGGTGATGAAAGGGCAGGATCCCTGACAGTGTATGTAGGGAGGCAACAGAACTCACCATCAAACTGGGCTGCCTCCCCATAGCCTTCCTCTTTCTTTTCTTGGAACAGTTTGAGGCAAGCACTGGGGCTGGCCAGGAGCAGCCGGAAACCCTGGTACAGAGGGAAAAGGATGACTCAGTGCACAGGTTCCTCCTGAGGTTCCTCCCAATGCAGGAGACCCCAAACCCAGACAGGATCTGAGTTCAGGAGCCAGGCCATGCACAGTGCTCCCTTCTCCCCATCCATCCCGCTCACCTGCCCTTCTCCCAGGCTTCCTGTGGTCACCTCCAAGCCTTGGTCCACACTGTTCTCCCTGCCTGGAGGCCCTTCCCCACTTGGCCCACCAGGGAACTCCTGCCTTGCCTCACCTCAGGTGTCTCCTTCACTGGCACAGGCAGAGCACACAGGCTTCAGCTGCGGCCTGCACCTGCCCCCATCAGCGCTCTCACCATGCCAGGTTGGAGCTACCAGCCACAGGGAGGCCTCCCCTCCCAAGCTGCATACTTCCTTCCCTGTCCCCTCTGCAAAGTGGTAGAGCCCCCTTCTGAGGCTCAGTTTCCCCACCTGCAAATTGGAGGCAATAATAATAGCACCTACCTCGGGGACTTCGGAAGAATTACCTGGATTAAAGTGTATGGAGTATTTGGCACAGAGTAGGTGCTCAGTGCCTTTTTACCAGTTCTTACTATCAGTGGCATTTTGGCTGTTGCCTGAGGGATTTGTGTCTGAGCAAACACTCAGTAGGTGTGAGAATGAGTGTCTGGGCAGTGAGCACTTGAGTGCCCTCCTGGACCAAGGCTCTCACCTCCTCCCAGAAGCCCTGGGTGATTAACCCCAGGGTGCCCTGACCCAGTGGTTGCTCTAGACCCAGAATTGAGCTGTTTCCAGGTGGCTTCGCCCTGTCCATCCCAGACTAGGCAGGGGCAGAGATGGCTCAGGCACAGGCAGATGGGACAGTGGGTAGGAGACGCACCTTTTGGTCCGAGGTGGGCACAAAGCTCAGGAATTCATCCACGTGGCCCACGGAGAGCCAGTCCGAGTAGAGTTCCACAGGCGCCTGTACCCGCTGGGCATAGAGGAAGTCTCGAACCACCCTGTTCATGCGCCGTCCACTGGACCTGGCCAGGGAGAGAGAGACGACAGCCACCTCATGCCCAGTGCGTGCTGGCATCTTTGTGTGCCCTCCCTCAGCCTCCCAGCAGCCCTCTGAGTGGATGCCTTTTCCCAAAGGGGAAACTGAGGCTTGAGAGCTGAAGTGGCTTAGCCTGCGCCACACAGTTGAGAAATGACAGGGTCAAACCTCTCTGATTCCAGGCCCACAATCCCAAGTCCAAGCCAAGGCCACGGGTACTGGGAGCAGCAGAGGGGAAAGACACCCAGGAGGAGAGGAGGCTAGAGTGCCAGGGTCAGGCTGCCCTCTGTTCACCATGCAGCCCCCACCGTACCACCTGAGATGGATGCTAAGTGGGGTGTGCCAGGTGCAGGCCAAGCCCTGCCCGACCCCAGGAACTGGCCTTCACCTTGCTCATCTTCCAGAGTCTCTACCCTGCCCATCACAAGCTCTCCTCAAGGCCAGAAAGGTCACCCCTAACCTTAGGGAGCCACAGGAGAGAGCTCCATCTATCATAAAGAACTGGAGACCCTTGTATCTCAGCCTGGAGTCAGAGACACTGACTTCTTACTCAAGGGACACACAGCATTAGCTCAAAGTATGACCAGACCTAGAAGCCTCTCCCTGGCCCTATATTTCCCGAACATGGGGCCTGGATGGCCACATCACACCACGAAGGAGGCAGTGCTTGTTGCCAGGACTCCTGGCCACCAGCCACTGGCCAGCTGAGGCCTCCCTCACTGGATAGCCAGTGGCCTATCTCTTTCCCTGGTCTCTCTTCTTGTTCATGGTCTAACCGGAGAGAGGCTTTTAAATGTCACTCACAGAGACTGCAGAGCCCCAACACTGACCCACACAGTCCCTGCTGGGCTCTGGCACCTCTGTCCCCTTCTGCCTCTGTCCTCTTCATTTCCTCAGCTCCCTTCACACTGGCCTCCTGCTGTTCCTTGAACTCAGTTGGCACATTCCTGCCTTGGGGTCTTTTCACCTGCCCTTCTCTTCCTGGAGTCTAGCCCATTCCCCATGGCCAAGGCTAACCTCGCCTCCCCTAGGTTTAGCTTAAGTCTTTTCTTCCTTCTCCACGACGTCTTTGAAAGCAGCAACACCACCCGTCCATGTCCCTAGCCTTGTTCTCCTCTCAGCACTGGGCACCTGGCGTACTTACGCCAGCCTGAGTGTGAACTCCAAGAGCGCTGGGGTCTGGGTCTGGGCTGGTCACCAGTGTCCCCAGCACCTTGCTCACCTTGCTTCAAAAACACTCATGAGAAACTGGCGAAGTGATTCAAGTGGTAGAGCACATGCCTAGCAAGCCTGAGGCCCTGAGTTCAAACCTCAGTACTGCCTCCACCCCCCCAAAAAAAACCCCAAAACACTGGGCGCTGGTGATTCACGCCTGTATCCTAGCTATTTGGGAGGCAGAGATCAAGAGGATCACATTTGAGGCCAGCCTGGGCAAGAAAGGTGAGACCCTGTCTCAAAAATATGCAACACAAAAAATGGCTGGTAGAGTGGCTTAAATGGTAGAATACCTGCCTAGCAAGTGTGAAGCCCTGAGTTCAAACCCCAGTGACGCCAAAAAAAAAAAGAAGAAAAGAAAAAATTCACTGCTGAGTGGTGCAAATGCTTTGAACGGCTGTGTAATACATCGTCCATGATGTGCATAAACTAAAGTATGCCACAGACAAAGTCCAACAAAGTCCCTGCTTTGAACCGTGGAATGGGGTCAGGGAAAAGGTTTCCTGGGTTGCTGTCATTTTAACATCGTGTTGTCAAATTTTAAAGGATTTCTTAGGTCAGTGAGATGGTGGGAAGAAGAGCTAGACTTCAGAAGAATCCAGCAGCAGGAAGCAGAAACAGAACCGGCAGGGAGGGAGCTGAGTCCCCCCTAGGTCTGGAGGCTGTAAAACACCGCAGGGTGACTCAGCCTGAGTCACCATCAAAGCCACCACCAGGGGGCAGAATTGCTCAAAGAATGTTGTAAACTTGGGGAGCAGAGGATGGAGAACCCAAGATGGCAGAAAGACAAGCACATTTGTTGTACACCTACTGTGTGCTCCTGGCTCTGCGTATCTCATTTAATCTTCATGATAGCCCTGTGATCCACGTACAGATATCAGCTCCAGTCACCAGCTAAGGATGGCTCTACCAAGCTCTCTGGCCTCGCTCCCTGGGGTTCCTCCTTGCTCACTCAGCTCCAACCCCCTGACCGCGTTGCTAGAGTCTCTGGCATATTCCTGCCTCAGGACTTTTGCACTGGCTGTCTCCACTCCCTCCTGGATAGCCATCTCTTTAATTCCCTTATTTCCTTCATGGAGGCAGAATGGCTTGCTGGTCATAGACACTCAAGGGCTACTTCCAGGTCATTCCAATACCCCATCACCTCAGAAGCCTCAATAAACAGTGATTGGATTGGTTAAATGACTGCAGAACAAATGCCCGCACCTTGGCTTCCCCATCCGTAAAATGGGGACAGGAATGGTCCCAACCCCATGGGGCTGTTGGAAGGTTTAAAGGAAGTGATTGTGTGTGTGGCACATAGTGGACAGCATGACGTTCCACCCTGCTTCAAAGCAGACCCGCTGCTCCCAGGTGGGGGCAGCTGAGCAATACCAAGCACTGCAGAGAACTCACCCTCCCCAGCACCGGTGATGAGATAGCTGCAGTGGGGATTTTTTAAAAATTAGATCCATATTACAGCTGAGGAAACTGAGGCATGGAACATAAAATAAACCATTTATTTAAAATGTTTCTGCTGGAGGCGTGGCTGAAGCTGTTGAGCAATCTGCCTAGCAAGCACAAAGCCCTGGGTTCAAACCTCTGTACCACACACCCACACCACATATAAAATGTGTCTGTATTTCTCACTGACATATCCCTACTTCTTTTATTTTTTAAATTTTTGCATAAATTAATTGTGCAGTGGAGTTTCATTGTTAACTCTAGTACTTTCAACCATACCTGGCATGCAATAATTTTTATTTTTTATTTATGGTGGTACAGGTATTCAAACTCAGGGCATTTGCTGGGCAGACGTTCTACCACCTGAGCCACTCCACCAGCCCAATGCAAGAAATATTTTCATGTGAAAGAATCAAGCCTCTAATACTCCACATTGCCTGGCTGGTGGAAAGGCAGGACTCAAACCCAAGGCTGCTTGATTCTAAAGGTTGAGCTCCTACCTCACAGGCCCCTGTGGGAAGTCCCAAGAAGTCTATCTGAAGGCCTTACAGCCTGGCAGCCCCAGGGGTCGTGGGCTGGACCCAGCCCCAGTGTGGTAAAGTCACCTGCAGAGCCAGCCTGCTCCTCCCACCCTGGCCAGCCTCAGGACCGAGCACCTGGCTGGGCACCCAGCTCTGTACCGAGATTGGTGCCAGTAAACCTCACCCACAGCTTGAGGCTGTGTGACCTTCCCAGTAGTACCTGACTCCTCTGGGCCCAGGATAGAAGGCCAGCCAGGGCTAGGAGGGCAAGTTGGGGCACACCCAAGCTCCAGGTCAACCCTCACAAATGGGAAGGAGCCTCCAGGACTATAGTGAGGAGCAGGGGCCCACCAGGACCCCCAGTAGCCCCATCTCCCCCTTCTTTGGCTACCGGCAGGCGGGCTTTGGACCTGATCGCCTTAGTTAGCAGATAGCGTCACCTGTTTGAGCACTAAAACCTAAATACCTTGTTTCACAGCTGTCCTGGGTGGGACCCACTGAGTCACTCTGTCACCCTGGTATCCTGGCCAGCCACTTGCTCACCTGCTGCCACCAACCCTGGGCACTGGGTGACCTCTGGGCCCTTTCCAGTCATTGCAGCTACTCTGGCTTCCTAGTGGGAGAAACCGACAAGGCCAGACCCTGCCTGTGGGCCAGGTCCCATGTCACCTGTCCAGCTCTATTGAACTTTTAGGCATGTCAGAAATCTGTCTTTTTATGTGAATCCTCCAAAACACCTGGGAGGACTCTAGTTAGTCACAAGAGTCTAGTCCTCTAAAACAAAGTCACTAGTTAGTGGCTTTTCTCCTAAGATAGTGGGACCTTTTAGATCTGAGGTTCTAGGGTTCTGAGTCTTCCAGTCTAGGATTCCAGGCAGACAGTGTAGGCCACCCCTTGCCTCTTAGACTGGGGGACTGTGCTGGTAGTAAGGGGATGAGGAGAGGGGACCTGCCACCTTCCCAGTTGGCTGCTCACTTGGGGAAACTGCCGCCGATGAGGACCCGGCCCAGAGGGTACTCTATGCCTCCCACCGTCACAGGCGGGCTGACGTCCAGGTTGCCGAAGGAATCCAGGCTGGAGGCGCCAGCGAGCAGGACCTCCCGGGTCACATATCCAAAGTCAGGACCCTAGGGAAGAAGCAGCCCCAAGCAGAGGAGTTAGTGAGGACAGGAAGAGGGGACAGCTGTCGGAGGAGAGGAGAATGAGTGTGTGTGGAGTTGGGGTACTGAAAAGACAGCCTCTGCCCATTTTTACAGAAAAGTTGAAAAGTCTTCTTTTCCACGTCCAGCTGAGGATAGAAGGGCAAACCCAACCCAGGATGAAAGGTAACAGATGAGAGCATCCCCTCTCTGACCCCTGCACCTGCCTCTGGGTGACACCCTCACACTACAGGCTTGGTAGTCACCTGGCCCCTCCAGGATGCTCCTCCCCAAAAGGGAGGGGGAAAACGATTGGAGTGGTGGCCTATTTGCATACCCTTCCAGGCCTCCCACTGACTCCCATCCCCTGTGTTCTTTGGCACCCCCTCTTTCCAGTTTCTGGGCCCTGACAGACCAGATGAGGCTTTACCAGGGGGCTCCCACAGAAGGGGTCACCCAAGGGCTCCCACGTCTACCCTTTGCCACACACCAGAATCTTCTTATAGGGGAAGTCCCTCAGGCCTCTATTTCGGGGGGAGTCAAAGACCACAGGGAAGGATTTGTGAGGTGCCTCTATGTAGCCAAACTCCATCTCGTCCTGGGAGGGAAGAGAAGAAAGCCACAGTGACTTTCTTGGTGTGATGTTCAGAGCAGGTGACTCCACCCCTCCAGGCAGGAGGAAGGGGCAGATCTTCCCTGCAACCTGGGGAGTAGCAGGTCTGGAAGCGAGGCCTTCAAGAGCCTAATCTGGCTTCTCCAGAGAGACCAGGCCAGTTAGGCCCCCATGCTGACTCTCCTGCCCCCAGGCGACCCCCTAACTCTTTTCTGGAGTCAGCTGTGCCCTCCCCCACCACCCCCTGCCGCCACACACACACCTGGATCCAGCGGTCATTGCGGTTCTCAGCCCGTGGACAGACAACCAGTTTGCAGTTGGCTTGCCTCGCCAGGTAAGACATGTCGTCCAGGAACTTCTCATTTGAGCCATGAGCGTCTATCACACTGCGAAAGACGGTGGCCTCTGACTGGGGCCTTGAGTCACACTGGGCTGGGCCCGGTGAAGCCCCTGGGGTACAGAGCATCAGATCCGGACCCTGCCCTTCATGGGATAATGAGGGAAAGGGGGAGATAATGTCCCCAGATCGTGTCAGGTGACAGTTGCAAAGTGAGATTGCAAGGCCAGGCTGTGGAGCCACAGAGACAGGGCACCTAAATTAGAGTAGGCGGTCACGGGTGACCATGGAGGTGACCTGGAGCTGAATGTCATTGGTTACGGCGACAGTGAGAAGACACCAGCCCAGTCTACTCCTGTTCTGTGAGGTTTGTCTAAGCAGAGGGTCAGGGACGGGGTGGCAAGCAGACAGGAGGAAGGGATTCCCTTAGGAGCATGGCACACACCTGGACCCAGGTAAGCAGAGAAAAGTTGTTTCACCACATTCTCCCCTGCCTTTGGGACACCGACACCTGAAGGTCTTTCCAGTGGAGGCTGACCCTCCCAACAGGGGACCTGACTAGAATGCTGAGAGGTGGCCCTGGTGGACCCTGGAGGCCAAATCCCCACATCCTCACCAGGCACAGGAGTTACCCACATTGGAGTGGGGCCAGATCTTCTGTGGCCCCCAGTACTAGAGCAGGGCCTGGCCCTACTGCCCAGACCAAACCCTGTCTTCTGCAGGGCAGAGATGCCAGAGCACTAGTGGTGACTAGGGCCAGGATCCAGCTGCTCAGGACAGGGAGAGGCCAGCAGCCCCAAGGCCACCTGCTGCTGTCCTGTGCCCAGCTCTGCAATGTGGCTGCGCTCAGTGACTCAGGGCCAGCCCCACCCAGCATCCTCACCTGCCTCTCTGAGTCCAATAATGACGGGGGCTGGAGGGGGCTCACCTGCACACATACAGCTCCAGGGGGGGCTGCGTGTTGGGCGTCATGATCCAGGGGGCCACGCGGAAGACCACTGTGTCTGTGAAGAGAGACACCTCGGGCAGGGTCTGGGGGAAAGAGGAGGACTCAGTGGCCCTGCAGGGGGTCCCAGGCCATCTGCCCACCCGGAGCCTCCACTCTGGTCCCCAAGTCCCTCAGCCCCATACCACGCCCCAATGCTGTACCCACCCCCATGTCCACCAGGCTGACACTGAGGGAGACCAGCCCCAGGAAATGGGCGTCAGGGAACGCGAGCCCCTCCACGTGGAGTCTGATCACTTGCTCCCCCGGCTGCCGCTCTACTTCATAGGACAGGTGATTCGGCCCCAGCACCGTTTTATAGTCGGACAGGGAGTTCCCACCTAGGGAGAAGCAAGTCAGGGCCAGTGCTAGGTCAGGGTGAGGACGGGAAACTGTGGGCAGGAATCCCAGTGTAAGTCACCTTTGTGGCTATGAGAAGTGATGGAGGAAGAGAGACTCTGGGAGGAGGGGGAAGGGACAGGGCAGGGAGGGGAGGCCGGCCACTGCTCACCCCGGGCACAGAAGACCCGCGCTCTTTTAGAATCAGACGCTGACACCTTCAAGACCAGCTTGTGGCTTTGGAAGAGCTCATCTGGGCCACCACAGCTCAGCACCATAGGGGACAGGTCCTGCAGGTCTGGGGAGAACAGCCTCCTTGAGATTGCCTTCCCCCATTGGCAAGACCCCCTCTCCAGCAACTTCTCCGGTCACTCACCGTCCAGTGACACCAGCTGACTGTGGTCCAGGTCAGGCCCCGTGGACCTGTGACTCTCCTTGTCACAGTTTACCAGCAGGATGGCTCCATAGCCCTCGGGGCCCCAGTGCCAGGCTTTCTGCAGCAAAACAGGAAGCCTCGAGGTCAGAGGACCCAAGAAATGACCTGGGCAGACTGCACTGTAGCTTGGAGACTTTCGTGCTTAAAGATTTAAAGAGTGGTCACAGGCTTGGGGACAGGAGCTCTTGGTAAGGTGCTACGCCCACCCACGTGCAGTGAACAACCTACAGAGCTGTGTACAGTGGTGATGTCGCCACACCCAGAAATGGTTGAGCTTTGGCTGCCCCACCCTGACTTTGGTGAGGGTAGAGGGGCTGCAGAAGCCTTGGAAGGCACTCTCGCCTGTCCCTCGCCCACCTGGGCCTGTCCCACACAGATCACTGACCTCCACCTGAGGTCCTGCACACCCTGCACACTGGAGCCCCGCCTGACTCCGGGGTCACTGTTGACCCAGACACGCCTTCACTTCATCCCCACTGATCCACAAGGCAGAGCTTAGTTTCCCCATTTCACAGAAGAGGAAAGAGAGGCTGGGGGAGGCGACAGGCTGCCCCTCCCAGATGGCACGGCTGGCCTTCAAGCTCAGGGACGGCACAGGGCCACCGCCAGCCTATGTGGCATCCTCTTGCACTCTTGTCACCCCTCGGGGTAGGGGCCACCCTCCACCAGGACCTAAGACATGCAAATCACTATGCAAATCACCTACCACTTTACCCAAGCCCCCCAGCAGTGAACAACCTGCCTGACATTGTTCACAAAGCCCTGTGGTCCAGGCTGTCCTCTGCAGTCTTTCCCTGCAAACTGTACCTTCTACCACTTTTAGGACAGATTCCAAATACTCCCCGTGAGGTGATTCCCTGAGCCCATCCCATTCTCCTCTTTACAGTCTAAATGGGACCTCCTCTACCAGAAGGAGGTCGTTCAGTTACTCAATAACCTTTCATAAAATTATCCACCATATTTAGGGGATCCAAATACAACCCCTAAATAGAAAACGCAGCAAGCAAAAGAACTAATCCCAATTCCACGTTGATATAAGACAGACCAGAAAGGGTAAGCTGTTTTCCAGTTGTCACACAGCAGGTTAGTCACATGGTGTGATGTAAGTTAATGCCTACCCATGCCAATTTGGCTGTCCCTGGATGTCACAGACCCTGAGAATTCACCTCCCTTTGGAAGGAGAGCTCGTTCCACCCCAGGTCTGTCTGTCAGTAGGCGGGAGGTCTCACCTTGTCACCTCGGCTCCTCTTTGCCTTGCCTGTGCGGCCCATGTCGACATCAAGGGAAACATCTGCAAAAGGCAGAGAGGCGCCTGTCTTAGTGCATGTACTGCTCGTGTCCAGCAAGCTTGACCCCCTCCACAGGCCTATAAGGACCTGGAAGCCCAGCTCTGGTGACCATCCCAACTCTTGGGAGGCCTTGCAGCTGGCCCTGGGGTTCTGTGCGGGGGTGACATTGAGGTTCTGGTGTTGGAGAGAGCCAGGTCTTTGGGTCTAGAGTGACTTGCTTTTTGTCACTGTGGTTGAATTACTATGTCTTAGGCTTCCACACATCATGGTGGCTCCTCACTCTGGAGCTATTCACCATGGTTTAGTGCTGGGTCCTGGAGTCCTAGTCAGCATCTACAAGGGACTCTGGGTGGAGGAGGCCTCTGTGGCTGTGGCAGTGGCAGTGATATTTCTGGACCTTGTGGCCCTAAGTGTTGCTTGGCCTCCATCCCTGGGTTCTGGGAAGGTTGGAAGGTGTCTGAAGAGGCCGAGGTTCTCCGTGGTGGAGGAGGCCAGCTTGGGCCTTCACGAGGGCTCCTTCATGACCTTCCAACAGCCACCCCGTCCCCAGACAGCCCAGGAGGCAGGACTTACCAACACCAGTGAGGTACAGCATACTGTGGCCCAGGGCACCGACCTCCTGTGGTCCAAAGTAGGACACCTTCACCTGTGGCAGGAAGTTAGCCCTAAGTCAGTGAGCCACCACCCGACAGTCAGTGGTGGCAGGAAATATGGGGACACTGGTGCAGAGCCATTCACCCAGGTAAAAGCTGGGTGCCTTGCTGGCTCCAGAGTTGTCCAGGGAGAGAGGATAGGGGACCCAAGCAGAAGCAGTCAGCCTTTCAGGGGATGTGAAGAGACAGAGAGAAAAGGGCCACTGTGGCCATTGATGGGCAACTTGACCTAGCTAAGCCCTGTTCTTCCTTTGTGCGGTGAGACCACGACCCAGCCCCGCAGTTACAGCCTGTGCGGATGTCCAGACCCCATGCCCAGTGCCCTGCTCGGCCATTTCCGTTCAATGGGCAACAGGGCTTGTTCCTAAGGAGGTCACTGGGGCCCTGCCTGCAGTCACATGGCTGATGCAACAGATGGAGGTCAGATCTGAGCCTCACGGGCTCCAGCTTGCTACAGCTGCACACAGACCCTGGCTTGTCACTGCTGGGGAGAAAAAGCACGTCTACCGACCAGGGCTCACAGGAGTGAGGAGGCATTGTCCAAGCTCCAAGCTGTGACTGAGCAAAGGCTGATCAGGTGCACGTGGGCACAAGAGTGTGGGGGCTTCCTGTGGGGGCCTGAGTGTAGGGTGAATAGAGGGACTAACACAGGGGCGTTTGGATTTGGAGAGGGACCAGGAGTGCTCCTGTGTGCCGTGTGGAGTTAGGGCGCTTGTGTGGGTTTGTGGGTTCAGTGTCTTTGGAGCTGTGCCAGGATATGCTGTGTGGATGTGGGTATAAACTTTGTGGGGTGTGGCTAAGTGGGGTCATATGTGAATCAGACGTCATATGGGTGGGGGTTGGGGAGAAGCCAGTCCCTCACTCTGAGGAGGCAGTTCTTACCTTGAGGTCATTTAAATCTTTACTGGCTGTGCTCACAGACACGACCACATCCATGTTGGTGTTCAGTGGCCAGTGGGCCTTGCTGGCAGGTTTTGTCACCTGTGAGGGATGGTAGACCAGGAAGACCTCCACCTCAGAGCTCCCAGAGACTCCAAAGTTATCAGCGCCATGGGGCACATCACTGGCAGAGAAAGAAGGAGAGGTTCAGGATAGTGACCACGTGGTAGGGGAACTGGGGCTGCTGTCAGAATAGCTGGGTTGGGAGCCCTGTCCCCTCCAGTGTCACTTTACTCCCATCATGCTGGCCTTGCTGCTGGTTCATGAAGATGCCACGCTGTCCTGCCTCAGGGCCTTTGCGTGGCTGTTCCCTCTACACAGGAATGCTCTTCCCCAATATTCACAAGGCTCACACCCACAAATTTCAGGACTCTGCTTAGACGTCACCCTCTCAACGAACCCCCATCACTCAATTTGCCCACCTTCTCCCCCACCTGCTCTTTCCCCTCATCCTGCTCTGATTCTTAATTGTCCCCGTGTGCCATCCCCTCTCCTGTTAGCTGGGCTCCCTGAGAACAAGGCATTCATTTTGCTTGCTGACATGTCCTCGGCACTTGCACAGGGTCTGGCATCCATTAGATGGTCAATAAACACTTGCTAACAAGTGAATGGATTCCCCCTTTCTGCTACTGTGGGGGGCTTCTCAGGCCCACCTGCACCCAAGGGGGATTCAGCACATGATGATGGAGACCCAAGTGCAACCTCTCCCCATCTTCCTGGTACATTACATCCACCTGATGCCCCACAGCTCTGGGCTGTGGGGGTGGGGAGAGGCAGGAAACCTTCTGTCTGCCTGGGCCACAGCCTGGTCATCTCAACCCCGTCCCCACACCACCAGTGACTCCCAGCACAGCTGGCTGGGCCCGCCTTCCTGGACTAGACAATGGTGTCTTGCAAACTCAGCCTACAGAGAACACAAACCCAAGCCAACAGAGCCTGGGGAGAGTCACATCTTTTCCTTCTTCTACCCCCTGGATAAATGCAAGCTGCCCAGGCTCCGGACTAGTCAGGGTTCCATGAAGCCCTTGGCTAGGAGGAGCTGACCCCCGAGGGAAAGTCAGAGGAGGGAACCACATGCATGCTTCTTCCTCCGTACCCCAGCAGGCCGTCTACCATCACGTCCCATAGCAGAGCCTTCAACCTCCAGGCCACCACCCATAGTCAGTGCCGCTTACAGACACCCACCTGACTAAAAGGACACTGCTTGGAGGGGTCCTTTCACATGTCCTCCTGCCTCCACCCTTTCCTGGACATTTAAGAACCCACTCAAATACGAAACCTTCTGGAGGAACTACTGCCCCCCACAACCCAACCCCTGCCACAATCTCTCTGTCCCCATCAAACAGCTGTCCCCCTTAACAATGGCAATGATGGGACTGGGGAGCTAGCTGGAGCTGCCACTGGAGTGCCCTGGGCAGCATGGGGAGGGAAAGCTGAGTCAAAGAGTTGAGAGCAAAGCAAAGGAGATGCGGTGACGATCCCAGGTCCCTACTGCTCACCACGGGCTCGTAGAACAAGCGTCATTACCCCCACTTTACAGACATGGAGGGAGGCCCATAGCCTGCCATCGACATCCCCACCCCATACCACATGCTCCTCCATTGCCACACTCCATGTCACCTTCAGGAGACACACACACACACCTTTACAGCATCATCTTTGGGCATCCCTTACCCTGGAAGCCCCAAGTGTCCTGGGCTTGCGTCTTTGCATCTGTGCCCCTCCTGCCTCCCTTGTGCCACCTTCACTTTCAAGCACTGTCACCTACATGGTCATCTCTGAGTGTCCCCTCAGCCTTGGCACTCTACCAGAGACCTGCTCCTCACAGATGCCATGTCACCCCTGCATACTGCTCACAGGAGCTGCTTCTCCCTCCCTCCCTCCCTGCCACTTCAGACCCCCAGGTGCGCAGGGGTCTTCTTTGCTCCTCACTGTCCCTTCCAGAGCACTGTCTTTCTTTATTCCTTTAAGCCCAGTTTTGAACTGAACTGTTCACATGACACCTCCCAGCTGCAGGGCCCCTCCCGCCATCCCTTAGGGTACAGCTCCCACCACTGTGTCCAACCGGCCATCCTCAGGTTTTATCTGTCGTCAATGATGCACCCTCACCCTCCTCTTCCAGTGACACTGATCCCAGCCACCCTCCCGCAGGCAGGCCCTTCTCTGTGTCTTTACCAAGAACTGCTCCAGCTGCACCACTCAGACATTGGCTCACTCCCAACATGCCATCACCACTGGAGCCCAGCACCCCAGGGGTGCAGCCCTAGAAGGCTGAGTCCTCTGTGCCCCCTTCCCTTCACAGCTTCATCCCTTATGGCCATCCATTATGGCCCTCACTCCCCTGCACCTCTCACATCTTGAGCCCAGCTTTCCTCCCTCCTGCCCTGTACTCTCACCCGCACAGTCTCACCTGGATCCGTGACCCTTGACTTAGCTTGGATGTCCTGCAGCAGGAGGCTGCAGAGTCCCCGGGCTCTTTTCTCTCTCAGAGTCCTGAAAAATCATTCCACACTTTCCCATCTCTCCAGAAGCCCCTCCCCTCCTCACTCAGAGCTGGTCACTGCCTCTTCCCACAGTCTGGGCTTCCACCGCACCTGCCTCTGGGTCCCATCCACACCTGCCCTCCCAGGCAGTACTCAGCTGCCAGAGCTCCTGAGTTAGTCCCTGCCTCCAGGGTATTGTGCCCACCTTCCCCTCTTCCCCTCTCCCTCTCCTAGCACAGGTGTGCTGCAAACAGCACCTGTCCTAGAAACCACCACTCCCTTCTCCACGGCCCCTCATCTTTCTTCAGCTCCTTCCACAGGCAAACGCCCCAGAGCCCTGTGGCCCTGTGGCCTCAGAAACCTGCCTGCACTCAGGCTTCCTCCCCACCCCACCACTGCCATTGGAACTGCCTTGTGCCCAGACCCAGGGTCCTTTTCTGTTCCCACGGGTTGAATGTCAGAGGCTTTTGTCCAGAAAATCATCTGGCCTCCTTGAAAAGCATCTCCACCTGACGGCAGGCTTCGCTTGCTGTCCTCTCACTCCACCTCATCTCTGTCCTTTGCTGCCCCTGCACAGTCACCTCAGGGCGCAACCACCTGGTTGGCGAATTTAACAACCAGCTCCCATGGCGGACTTACGCATATATATTTACATTTATCACAAATTGAATCACATAAGTGATATGCATCATCCAACGTACAAATTATAAATATACACATTTATGTATATATATTTTATTCTTTATTATAAAGCATAGCCCATCCCCTTGCAGCCACCCTGTGGTCACCATTTGACAGGATTTGACAAATGTAATAATTGTCCCCCAGCCTGCTAATTCTTTCCCCCAGTAAATTTACTGTCATTGAATCTGATGTGTAACAGGTATTGGGTTGGTGAAAGTGAACCAGGGAAGACGTATATCAGATGTCACCATTCATCAATGACAGGAAACGTCTTTGTTGAATCAGATAATTCTGGAAGAATTCTGTCTCAATTTTTTTGTACTAGCCCCAACGCAAAGGTTAGAGACACAATACAGTTTTTCTTTTTCTTTTCTTTTTTGACACAGGGTTTCACTATGTAGCCCAGGCAGCCCTCAAATTCACGATCTTCCTGCCTCAGCCTCCTAGGGGCTGGGATTACAGGTGTACACACCACATATAGCTCACAGTACACTGCTAAATTTCATCCATGTTTACCTTTCTTTATAAGTTTCTTAAGCTTAGCCAACCAAGATAACAATACACAAAGCCCTGGTTTGTAGCCTTCAACACTTCCCGTGGCATAAATAATCTCACTCTGCTCAGTCTCAAGTTCCCAGCCCAACACCCAGAACTCAGGGTTTCCAAAAGAGGTGCAATTGCACCCCATGACTTCACTACTTCTACCATACAGATCATGGTATAACACAATAAAATAACCAGGAAGCAATGAGTTTTCAGTACTTATTACCTTTGTTTTAAAATATAGATGATCAAAAAAATAAAATAAAATAATAAAATACAGATGGTCCCAGGCTGGTGGAGTGGCTCAAATGGTAGAACACCTGCCTAGCAAGCATGAAGCTTTGAGTTCAAACCCCAGTGCTACCAAAAGAAAAAAAAGAAAAAGAAAAAGGAAAAGGAAATACACACAGTCCCTACTCACTTATGACGGCCCAACTTAGTTTTCCAACTTTGTGCGTGGGGGACCATCCATATAGCACCCTCTTTTCACTCTCAGTTCAGCAGTTAATAAACTACACGAGCTATTCCATTCTTTATTGAAAATAGGCTCTGTGTTCGCCAGCCATAGGCCTAGGGGAGTGATCTGAGCACACAGAAGGTGGCAGGCTAAGCTATGATGTTCCGTGCGTGACACGTACCAACTGCATTTTCAACTTTCTGTGGGTTTATCAGGACAAAACCATCCAGCTCAGAACCTTCCCACCAAGCCTGTGTCCCCGCCAAGCCACCATCCTGACCTCAAAGCCTCCCCTCCCCTGTGCTCCCTGGGGACAGACGACTTCCCACAGGAGGCAGTTGTTTGTCCTCGAGTATACCGAGCCTGCAGTTTCTCTCTGACTGGAACATTCTGCTCACAGATACCTGCAGAGTGCCCAGTCCCTCGCTTCATGCTCAGTGATTTCCTCCCTGACCACCTATTGTAAACAGTGTGACCTGAACCTGCACCTCTGCACCCGGTTTCACTCCAAACCATGGCACGTATCACCTGCCACGATGCATCTGTTCCCTCCCTGCCTCTCCCTCCAGAACGCACCTATACATACATTATGGGTGAGGACAATGGCTTTGTCAGGACTGGGGGTGGCTGAGCCTGCCCTCCTGGACCAGGACTGAGCTCCTGGGCTCCTGCCTAGTCTCAGCCTCCACAAGGGCACATGCTCTACTCAAAGACATTGTCCCTGCCTGCCCATCCCCCTCTCTCATGTCCAGCACACAGACAGGCTACAAACATCATGTAAAAGTGTTGTGTCTGTCATCATTACATTGAACTTAGCCTGCCTGGCCCCACAGCCCTGCCCCACGCATCCAAGCAAGCAGACCCAAGCCCAGGGCAGCCAGCCGGCTCCACGCCCTGCCAAGGGCTGCCACTGCCAGGTGAAGCCCTTTCAAGAAAAGCAGGGTCTCAGAAGAGCCA